CTCTCCAGTTGGTTAATTGGGCTGAAATGGAGGAACGCAGTTTAGGATCCACATATACCCTTTGGAATAGCCAGGTAAGGCTGGAATCAACAGTATTGGACTTCAATTTCAGCACGGTGTTATGTATTACTAGTGCTTCGTTCTGTGGAAAGTGCTTGGGTTCCACTAAAGGCCTGGGGGCTGTTTGCTGGGGAACTGATGGGCAACTATTTGAGCTATCACAGAATATAACCCATAATTGTTACTGGTGCTTGGCTGAAGGTGGAAGAAGAGGCTACCTGCTTTCTAGTGTCTTTTCAATGGACTGCTTTAAAGTGATTTAGTCTAGCAGTTGCTTGCAATGGACACTCTGGGTTCCAAGTGTTAATTTGCTTACCAGCTTTCTAGCAAAGAAGTGAGGCCTTAGGTGGTAAGATTTGTATTCTTCTTTAAAAGTGTCTTGAAAGAGTGCTTAAATTGTTCTTAAACATATTTCGGATACCAGGCAGAAATGGAATCAATTTGTTAGTTCAGCAAGCATTGCGCTGCTTCCTTAATGCTAGAATTGAAACACACTTAATAGAATTAAAGTGATTGCAGGCTGCCAAGGGGAAAGTGTCGTGCAGAGGCAGCTCCTCGAGCTCGTGCACAGCCAGCTGCTCCAGATCCACCCCTCGTGGCCCATGTCATGGCCACGTCAGCTCAGCGGCCTCCTCTGAGCTAGAGGATGGTTTTTCTCAGAGAAACTCCTCTTGTGAGAGAAACTCCTGCCAGATCAGTGAACCTCACCCTGAGACAAAACCGTCCTTATTAAACAAAAATACTCGTGCCAGCCCTCCAGCCCTGTGGATGTGCACGGTAAGGGAGCACCTGCCAGGGGAAATAACGTCTGGAAGGAGAAATCCCCAGGCGGAGCAAAGCCGCCCTCGTGGTGATGGGATGTGTCACCCGTCACCTGAGCACCCAGGAATTCAGTAAAATTAACCTCAAATGCTAAGGAGGTCAATGTTTTGACAAATTGAACTTTATTTTTTTTAATTAAGTGTAAAGAACACAAACACATTAAAAGATTCAGCATAAAGCACCTTCTAGAAGGGGAGGAAATGCCGGAGATTAGGAGGCAAATGCCAAACAAAGTAACAGGATTATGCAGGGATGCAGCGTTGCCAGCAACACTGTTGATCTCCCCTGAGCTAAACTACGTGGATTTTTGAAGAGCTGTAAATGAGAAAATCCATACATGCTAGTGAAAGATGAAGGAAACTCTTTATACGATAAAAAGTACTCGGTGCTTGAACCTGTTTAGCATCACCTTCTTTCTGAGCTCTGCATACACAGTGCTTTATAAATGCATGCCAGAGAAGAGATCCATGTGGAAAAGTAGGAAGCTTGTAGTGAATTTATGATTTTCTTCTTCCTGTTCAGTAAATGAAACTTGAACTTTTCTCGCTAAGACTTTGTGGGGCTTATGCTATAAATTGTAATAATTCAGGTCTGTGTTGTGTTGTCTCAAAGTCAGGGATGGGGATGTGGGGAGAGCTCAGTCTTCACAAGTGATAAGAGGGTAGCGTGTCCCTTAGGCTGGCTCAGAGCCCAGGATATTCAAAGTGCAGTAAGCAAACCTTGCTGCCTACAAAACAGCACCTAAAAAGTGAGCTGGCTATTTTGAGAAAAATGATTTTCCAATGATGAAAAATGGTTGCCCGGGGGGAGGTAAGGGCCTTGCTGGAGCAGGTGTGGGGCCAGCGGGATTCCCGCGGGGAACGCGCCGGGCTGGAGGCGAGGGGCCTGGTTCCTCCGGGCTGCGCACGGGGAAGCCACCTCCCCGGCGTGCCCGGGAACTCTCCTTCACCGGTTCCTAGGGCCAGGGCCAGGGATTATTCAGCAGTTGCACAAGGAGAGCAGTGTTGCTCCCCACGTTTGCTCTGCAGTGCTTTCCAGGAGCACTATCCAGGGCAAAGCGCCAAGCAGCAGGGTTTATTACTGCCCGTTCTCCAGTGCAAAACACCGTGTGTTCCCGCACTCACTGATCTGCACAGGAGCTGCAGCACTGGAAGATGTACATGATTTTCTGTGACTTTTTTTTTCCTTCTTATCTAAATGAATTGTTAAAGATGGAAATCTGATCTCCCGTTGGGTTATTTCCTTCAGAAGCATACCTCGAGTTGGCGAGATGCTAATGGGCTACGGCAGTATTTTGTTGCATATTTTATGTTCTGGGAACTGGTGTTTATACATACGCTTTGGCCCAGATTCTGGGACAGCAGCCTCTTTCACAGCAGCAAGTCGTCAACGAAGACGGCGCTAGAACTGCTTCGAGCTGAAGATCCCTGGGGAATAGAGATGATTTTTTTGGAGAGGAGCCACCTCCTGTCAAAGCTGCCCCCCAAGGCTGTGCAGGGGGAGCAGGCGCTTGCCAAGCAGTGGTCTCTCAGCATCCTTCATCCCTCCCTGTCTCCAGCACGTTTTTCTTGCAGTGTCCATGTGCCTGTGACCAGAGTGGTAATGGCTTGGTGGCCCTTGCTGGAAAGGGGACCTTTCCTTGATGCACGGCATGAAGAGCTAGGCACTTCCTTAAATGCTGAGTTTTAGTACGTTGTAAGAAAATACGCTTTCTTGTAGCTGCCAGCTCAAAATTTGAGACTTACCTTGTGTTTTTGTCCATGCAGTGCACTTTCTGAAGCTCACTGCTGTTTTTGTAAAGGTTTCTATTGATTTTACTTGCTCATAGGTTTAGAAACCAAAGAACAACTGCTTGTACCTTCCTTCTTGGAAATAGCACTATTAAAGGCATATTTCGTTGCTTAAAAGTTTATTGATTTTTAGAATTAGGTGAATGTTCTGAATTTTCTTGTTTATGACTATATCAAGTATACTTATTAGTTATAGTGTATCAAACATATGTAACAATATGTAGCTAAATATGGTGGTAGTATAAGTGAGTGTATCTGTCCTTCTGCTTGGCATTATGAACAGCCTTTTCTCTAGATGATTGAATACAGAGATGTGGGAAAGGTAGAGCTAGCAAGAGCTGGCTCGTCACAGGCGGCATCCTGACTTACCTAGACGTAATGAGAGCACTGAATCACAAAACCGTTAGTGTTTCAGATAATGGGAATTTTTCAAAAGTCTGCTCTCTCTCAGTAGCCAAAATTGTATAGCCAAGTTCATCTTATGGACCAAAATATGCAGCAGCACAGGTATGTTAGAAGTTAAACGGTGTCTTGCCATTCTCCGGAGTCCAGTCCATGGAAAATAATCTCATAGGAAACCTGATGTGATCGGGAGAGGGGAAGGAGTGCGACTAGTTTGCGTGCTGTTGTGTTGGGGCCGCACGGAAAAGCAAGTCCGAGGGTGCTCTCTGCATCCTCCCGGATTGCAGGAGGTTGGTAGTCACCGTAATTCTGGAGTCATCGTGACGGGGACGTGTTCAACCCGCAGCTCGCTGCAACTTCTCCGAGATGCCCGTCCCTTGGGGCTCAAACACCTCAAGAAAGATTCTCCAGGCTGCCTTTTGCCTCTCCAAAGGTGGCTCAGGTTGGGGACACGATGCTTGATTTACCCATGAGCAATCAGGGACCAAGTCCACTGTGTGCCCTGTAGTGCTTTGCTTATTAATTTAGTGAGATGGGAATGTCTAGCCTGCACTAATCACCATTCAGGAGAATATTTGGCATGTGCTGAGTTAACCCTGAAGCAGAGGAAGAAAGGTTTCTGTGTACATGTATGTATTCGAAGGGAAAAAGTAATAAAGCTTCATTGCTTATTGTTCTTTCATAAGTCGTATATGGATTTCTGAAACAGAGGTGAAACTTTTGCTTTTATTTATGCAGGATTTCCTACCAAAGTATAAGGAATGTCTGCTTGAATAGCTAAGAGCTTCATGCAAAGCAGGCTAAGTTTTGGGTGAAGTTTTTTCAAAATTGTATAATGCACTCAGGAATAAATGATAGAACGGATGTTTTTTGATTGTTTATTTTTTTGAGTGATATCAAGCATCACTGGGATGAATTTGTTATTTGGTAGTGCTGGCAGTTATATATGTCTGCTCAAGAGTCACGTGCCTAAACACACATGTAAAATATTATCGTGAATACTTCCAAAGAGCCTTTAGTGTAAAATAAGTTAACTTGGATTTTTCTCAGCGTCTTGCGGGTGGTTGTAACTAGTCTTTGCTTCCCTTCCAACAGCTTCTTACTCCATTTCTGTTTCGTTCAAAGTGTTTTCTAGGTCTGAATGTAGGCTGCTAAATTAAAACCAAGCAAACAAACCTCCAGGTCTGCTTTTGTCACTGTTAGTAGTAAAGAGCTAATTATGAGGGGGAAAAAAAAAACATTTTACTAAGCTAATACTCAGGTGCTGACCGTTTCCTTGTGAATTCTGCTCTTCTGAATGTTGTCTCAGCCTCATTAACAGCAATTCTGCCCCTTGGCAAACCTGTGATTCAGGTTCACTGGTGGGTGATGCTGCCATGCGGGTTGGGAAGTGGAGCCTTAGAGGTTTTGGTGTGGACGTAAAAATATTCTCTCTGCTTTCTAAAAGGTAGCCCAGCGGAAGCATTGGTACCTCCAGGAGCATTTCTGTGGTTGGTACCTCGGGAATGAATGTTATATTTCCTTGCCACAGAGCAGGATAGCTGTAAATAAGTGGTGTGGCAACCCTCTGAAGGCCGTCGTGGTGTTTGGAGCTGCAGTCCCTGTGCATTCCCAGTACCCCATCTATTGAGTTAGTCCTGTTCTGGAATTTGATACATTACCGTGGTAGGTCAACTCTTACAGGAAACCAAATGTTTGCTTTGGCTGTATGCATGTCTGCTTGCTCTGTATAAATTGATCTAGCTATGACTGTAAAGGAAAAAACATTTATCATTGGCCAGTTAGTCTTTTTTTTTTTTTTTTTCCTGACAGAAGTCCTGTTTTTGTTTCCAGGTATCTTGAACTGAACAACCACCCTCCACCGCACACTTGCTGTTATGGGTTGGACTTTACAAAGAAGGACTGTTTTGGCTTTTTCTCTTTCAGATGAGAACTCTCCAGCAAATTTCTGGGACTCCAAGAATCGGGGAGTGACTGGCACCCAGAAGGGACAAATTGTATGGCGAATTGAACCGGGCCCGTATTTTATGGAATGTGAGTACATATTTATGCAGCATAAGGCAACCATATGGCTGTAGGAAGGCATGTTCATAGGGTGACATTTTTAATATCCCTTTTGTCAAACTCTCTGGAAAAACAAAGGAATAGATACTGCTCAAAGGACAGTGCTCTCTTTTAGTGTCCTTGCCAAGCGTCGTAGAAGGAGAAGTTGAGCTTAGCTTAGCTGTCTCTGACATGTAGGGATGTTCCTAAGCAGTGTGCTAAAGCTTAAGGGAAGAAAGAATTGCCTTGTGCAATGCCATGTAGTATACATGCATTGAAAGATTAACACCCTTCTCAAGTTTACAGTTCCAGCTGAACAAAACATTAATCAACTATACACAAAGGCAGATAATAAGCCAGTAGTGCTAGAGTTTGTTAGTACTGAGATTAGATTTGTCTTCAGGAACCACTTCAGGGATTTCCAGGTGGGGTTTTGTTACGCTGGAGACATCCACCAGGCAGCTTGGAAATGCTGGGAGACCCAAGTCTACCTGGAAGGAACAGGCTTCAGGTGAGCTCTGTCAGTGAAGCTTTAGATCGGAGTGGTATGGCATTCCTTGGATGTGCAGGAAGCTAAGCCACTCTGACGTGTGAATTTTGCTGTTTTTTGCTTTTCAATGAAAAGGAGTTATCTTAGCTTCTAAAGTATTTGATCCCCTGAAGAAGCCGCCGTTGTAATCCTCAAATGGCCCCCGTGAGCTTGTGGGAGACTGACCTGCTGAGAGGCCACTGCCAAGGTGGCAGTGTGTCCCCACGGAGCTGTGGGCTGCTCCACCTCCCGTTTAGCTTCACAGTCGCGAATCTCGCTTCAGAAATTAGGGCAATATATATGCCCCGACTCTAATCCTTGCTTCACCGCACACTGCAATGCCGCTAACGCCGCTTGATATGAATTATTCTTCCAATTAACTGATGTGTATTTCAATACACAGCAATATGTGTATTTCAAGAGGTGTTATGTACCATTCACTATAAATAATAGAAACTTCATATTTCTAGAACTCATTATTGCATCGTGTCAAGTTATCATATCTGTTACACAACATTTTTATATATACAAATGCAATACAGCGATACAGGAGTGGGAAAAACATTAGCAGGATAAAATCAAAATCAATTTTAGGAGTTTATTCCAAGAAAAAAATGGCAGAGCTGAAGATGAAGATCATGAGAATAATGAAGGTCAAGAAGATGATTAAGTTTCCTGCTGCAGAAGGCAGTGCTGTGTTAAAGCAGATGCGTGTTAGAAGAGTTCCTTGCCTCTTCCTTCTTGTGCAGAGTCTATCTCCGTTGTGTTGCCACCACCGGTTGCTTGCCTGTGTGGCAGTTTGGTCACGAGTGTATTTATATTCTTCAGGTGCCTATGTGTTGTTCCACAATCTGTGGACACCAGGTTCTTGGGCAATATACATAGGTCATGTAGTAACCTCAGCCAGTATCACGGGTGGCCACCAACAGAACTAGAGGAAATGGCCCCAAACTGAAACACCAAAAGTTCCACAGGAACTTAAGGAAAAATGTCTTGCCAGTGAGGGTGCCAGAGCACTGGAACAGGCTGCCCAGAGAGGTTGTGGAGTCTCCTTCTCTGGAGATCTTCAAACCCGCTTGGACGCAGTCCTGTGCCACGTGCTCTAGGTGACCCTGTGTGTGCAGGGGGTTGGACTGGATGATCTCTAGAGGTCCCTTCCAACCTTAAACATTCTGTGATTCTATGATTCTATTTCATGAATTGGCGGTTTTGGTGTAAATTCAGCTGCCGCCGGCTTTGCCCTGCGCAGATCCGTGCAGGGTTTGCTCGGCAGTGCTGGGCTGGGCAGCTGCGCGCCCTCCGCCAGCCTCAGTGGCCCTTGGGCTGCCCCAGGCCTGGCGCAGAGACTTGCAGGCTCCTTGCTGAACCCCTGAGGTTTCTCTTGACCTTGTCCTCGGCCACTGCGACGTGCCTGAGCTCCCCAGGGCTGCTGGTAAGCTGCATGAGTAACCGAGGTAGAGAGGGCTTTTGTGACGGTGGTGTTTGTACCTCAGAGCCATTCATGTTCGTCAGCTTGAAGCACAGGCAGCTCTTGACTGCCCTACCTATATGTTGCTGTACCTACATAACTGTCGGGCTCCCTCCTCTGCCTATATGTGAGGAGAGGAGGGGATGGGATGTTAGTTACAGGCTGAAGAAACCTTGAGCCAACCTGGCCACGAGAACCGATACGTTAACAGAGTTGCATTAAGTAACTATGGTAATTGCTTAGGAATTACAGTCAAAAGGTAAATGAACCTGGCCCGAAGTTACCTGCCTCCAAGGCAAGAAAAGCAGCTGAAGTTACTAATGTTGAATAATGAGACCAGTCAGTGTGAAGATTACCCAAAAGTTTGGTTGTATTTTTTTTCCCTACCATTGTTGAAGCTTCAGGACATGGCGTTTCTTTTTCACCAGCAAGGCTGTACCATCTGAGTAGGGCAAAGCGTGAAAGACAACAACATTGCCAAGAAACCGTGTGCCCATGAATCTCATGCGGAAGGTAACTTAATGCTGAGCATAACTGTAAACATATCAATAATTTAGTTGAGGTTCATGGAGTTTATGCTGAAGGTTAGATCATGGTTAAGCTTTTTTCTTTTTTTCTGAATTTGACATCACTGTATGTGGTCTTGTATACGCATACGGTCTTGTAGTGCAATTTTCCAGGCATTCTGTCCATTCTTCCTAAGACCCCTCCTTGTAGGTTTAGCAGTTCCTATTTCCCAAGCAAGTACCACATGTACAGGCAGTTTGACTTCTGCATTCACATCAGGCAATCCGCAGAAGGAACGGGAGGGAGATGCTCATTATCAATTCCCCCAAAAGCAGCAAAACAAAGATGATCAAAGAAAACTCTCACTAGCCTTCAAGAAAAATCAACACAAAAAAATTCCATAGGCTCTACCCGAGAAGGGAGATTCAAAGGAATCGGCAATGAAGTAGCAAGAAATAAGCTTAATGTGTCCCAGAAATAGAAACCACCTCAGAGGAGTGGCAGAGGGAAGAGGAAAAGAGTATGCAGAGGGGAAATAAAATACGTGCAAAGAGCAAACCCCAGCTCACACCAGCAAACAGCCGCTGCCCTTAAGTAAGTCATCCCTGCTAGCCCGGGGGCCTGGCTGGAGGCTGCAGAGGCTCCTCTTTCCTCTCCCTTGGGAAGGACCTGCAGTGCCATGCAGGCATGAAAAGGAGGTTCAGCAAAGGGAATACGAGCAGCAGGATCCCCAAGGTGGTGTTTCGTTACTTACATAACAATATATACATACTGCATAATTGGGGTGGTTTAAAACTCGGTGCTTTGAGGCTTGCTAAACTGTGTGGGAAGGAAAACAGTGATTCGCTAGGCAGCTCTGTAAAGCTGTTGGCCTTCAGAAGGGTTGCTTAGAAGTGACCACGACTGAACAAAGGGTTTTCCTACCTCTGCAAAGGGACAAGGTTGAGGAGAAGGACAAGTTCCGAGTCCTTCCTCTACTTTGCTGTAGCGTAATAAACTTGCTGATGTTTATAATATCCTCTGTCCTAGTCATTCCTGTAAGCAGGATATAAATATGTTTATTTGCATACCTTTGCTGCAGTGATGCTGTGGGTTTGCATCTCAAACTGTAATCCAGAGTGGCAGCTGCTGGGATGCATCCGGAAGCTGCCAGTCTTGTCACATCCATCATTTCCCAAGTCACCCTTGGGAAGTTTGTGGTTAAATTACTTCTGGTGCCTCAGTGCAGTAGGCAGACAGAGTGGCTGCACGGCCAGTGTTTGCTCTGTGCTTAAAATCTCAGTTCTGTGACTGGAACAAGCTCCAAGATAAATTCAGAAAATATGATAACACTTGTGTTTGCATTAGGCAGATTTAATTTACAATTCAAGAGGTCTTAATCCTCTCTGCTGAGACTGAAACTTGCCATACTGTGCACTCAGCCAAGCAGATTCCTACCCCATTTTTGGTTTCATTTTGTTTAAATATAATATGAATTTTTAAAAAATCGACTTCATAATTGAATTTGTTGGTTTTAGATTTTAAGGCCTGCTCTAGTGAAGAGTGGTTTTATCTGTTAAGAGATATAAGCACTGTTTATAAATATTTTTAGTGGTTTTGAACAAAATGGTCAAGGTTAGTGACTATTCTGTCAAGATGATTCATTGCCTGTGTCCTGTCTTTACATGTTCTTGATATTCCTTTAACTGTAGATTTCATTTGAGTGAACTTCAGCCCGTCGTATTTTGCATTGAACTGTTCTGAGGCTGTGTAACTTTGTGTAACCAGTGCCCGTATTCTGACTGGAGGCTCTTTGGCCATCACTGTCCCTAGGCTATCGATGAACATGTTTGCTCGGTTAGAAACATTCATACCTGTTCTTAAAGGGGAAAAAATTGTTGAACTGAATTATCTGCCTCCTGGAAAGGAATGAGCTCTTCTGAATTGTGTTGGTGCTTATGTACTTCAAGTATATTTTTAGGCAAAAGCAACTTTTTGATGGACAAAGATAAAATACGAAAGGCAGGGAACAGATGAAGTGGGGGACTTGGGGGAATTATGCATGTTTTAAAAGTAAGCTATTATTTGAAATAAGATGATGAGACGAGAGTGCATAGTCCATAGAGAGAATACAGCACTATAATCTCATGCAGGAGTTCTTTTGAAATTCAAATGCCAGCATTTGAGTCCCAGAAACCCTTCATTAATTCCAGCGTTTTTATGTAATGGACCTGAGCTATAAATCTATGGCTATAAAAGGGCAACAGCCATTGGCTTTAGAAAGAGAGGATTATGGTGTTGTGGAGTGTTCAGATTAATTAATTAACATATATGTGTTAATATATATGGCTCTTTCTGATATGTTTTGCAGAATCATGAGCCATTGCTTGGCTGTTTTTTGAAGAGATAAATTTGGAGAAATTAGTATTTTTTCCGCAGACTGAGAGGCAGCTTCCAAGCACTCAAATTCCAATCTTACGTGAACTAAAAGTACTTAGGTGCCCATTTGGCTGCGGGCATTGTTCATAAGTCAACAGAAATCCTCAATTTAGGAAGAAGTTGCAGTTTTGGGTTCAAAATTGTTGCATATGTCTAATGAACTTTTGTAAGTGATTAGAAATCCTGTTTGTATTTTGAATTTTTCTTTAAAGCTGGTTGTAAGTAGGGCGGGTTAGGTTAGTCCTGTTTGGCTGTGTAAACCAGCTGTAAGTAGGACGAGGTGGACTCAGCAGCTCTCTGCTGGGGACGTCCCTGGTGGCACTGTTAAGCCAGATGCTTCCCTTTGCAGGACAGTGCTGAGATTCATTCGCTTTGTAAATGAATGCTGAACCATAGCTGCACCTATCGAAATGTTATTTTTGGCTGAGCGTTTTTGCAGAATGGACTTTGATCCTCTCTGAATAGGGATGAGTGGACATTTCATCTTTACAGCAGTGAAATACTTCAGCCTTCAAGGAACCGTCCTACCTGTCCCCACATGCCATTTGGCACGTTTGGATTCCTGCCGTGCTGCTGAGCTGGGCTGGAGGGGCTGCACTGCACAGGCTTTCATGCCCATCTGGTCTGTCTGAACCTCTCACCAAAGTTATCCCAGCAGAAGAGGGAAAGATTGTTCTGGATGGGGCAGAAAACACGGAATCCAAGTCAGCCATAATTATAGGGTTTTTAGCCCAGCTGGAAGAACACAGAGTAACAACAGTGGATATCAGGTTTTGGTTAAACAAAATACTCCCTTGTTTGCAATAAGTGCAAGCAGCAGACTAAGCTCTGTTGAGTGGGATCAGAAGCAAGGTGAAATGTTCCCCTTTCCCCTGTGCTGACATAAGTGCTTCAAGCTTCCTTCACGTTATGTCTCATGCAGTTTCCTTCAAAGCGTCCTTGTAGCAGGTATCTTGGTAAGACTTTTTCATAACCAATTGTAACAAAACAGTAGCAGAAATATTAGCTGAAAAATCAGCTAAGCTCTTTTCTCTTATGCAATAAAAGGTTTCCACACAGGGAGAGGAGGAAGCAGCTGCTTTATGTTTAATCTACTGTAAAAGCATTTCTGGAACCAGATCACTGAAAGATGGATCCTACTCCTATAGAATGACTCTTCCAAGGTATGCTGGAAGGTGCAGCCTTTCACCATGGTTGATCATGCCTAGGCCTGTCCTTCTACCTGAGCATCAGGATATCTGTAGGGCTGATGTGAAATCCCAGCTTGCAGGACTTTGGATAATATTTTATCTTGTCCTCAAGATAAATCAGTTACCATCATCAAGAGTATTTTTGGGCTGGCGTACCAAATGATAGGAGAAGGTTGGACAGGTCACACAAAAAGGGGAGATCTTAAAAGTGGGGCTCTGCAGGCAGTGGTTGAAACAAGGTGCTTCTAAATGTTTCCATCAGTGATTTGGAAATAAATCTAAGACTCGTTCTGATTTTACCTGCGGGTGCTATGAGAATTAGAGAAGTGGATAGAAACAATGAAAGATCCATATGGGACGACCTAACAAGATAGGCACAGGCAAAATAAAATCAGTTTCGAGTTAGTTGTCCTCAGGATGAGGCACAAAGGCCCTGCATGGGTGAGCGTGTCCTGGCCGTGTAACCCGTGACCAAGACCTCTATGCACAAAGCGGAGCGGGGACGACCAAGACTGGTCAGAATAGGTGCTCTAACGATTGCCCTTCTCCTCCCTCTCCTAAGAATCAAGTCAGAGGAGAAAAGCACATTTGTCTTGCAGTAAATATGGTGTGTTGTAGTGCCCTGTGCCCCTGTCTGAGGTGGGGAAGAAGGCGGGGAGCTCCGGCGCCGCTCGAGCTCGTCGCGCTCCGCGCGGAGGGGGAAGTCATTTAGCTGAGAATTATTGTTTTGATGTGAAAGGAGCCCGCTTAGATTGCGTAAACAGGGTTCCTCTCTTTAAATCATCACGTCAGCATAATATATGTTAATGCATTCATCTAAACAGGCTGCACAGCACTTTCCATTTGAGAAGCAAAGTAATCAGTTACTTCAGCTGTTCCATAGAGGATCAAGATACAGCGTATCTTTATTTCTCCCTGTGCTTATAAAGCTGTAGAGAGAGGCCTCGATTTCCTTTGATTAAATAATTTAAGGGTAAAACAAATACATATTGATTTTTTGGTTTTCTACTTTCAGGTCTGTTGAAAAAAATCATAATTGGAAGTCACTCTTATGTAGAAGTGGTCTGGTCTTCGCAGCTCAACATTAATCTCATTCCTTTCCCTCTGCATCCATTCAAAACAAAAAGTGGGTTAATGCAAGCTGTGATTTGCAAATCCTTTCTTCCTCATTAGCAATAGTGGACATCTCAACTGCAAGAACTCAAAAAATGCCCTCTTGCTTTTTTACAGACTCAGGGTAGAAATCTAGTTAAAAAAATGCAATTTACCCACATTTTAGCTAAAACCTTTATTCACTTTTTTTTTGAGAGCGAGATAGGCTTCTGCAGTTCGAGAGAGCATATTTTTCAGCTGCAGTTACTGTGGCTTTTTATATAGTGAAGATATTTCAGTAAACTGCTGGTGAAAGAGGCTGCGCATTCGAACAGAAGCGAATGGTGATTCCCCATGTGCAGCCCTTGCCTTCACTGCCTCTGTCTTGCCCAGTGTCAATCACAGAGGATTTCATGCGATTAATGTTTTGTTTTCCAGCTGAAATAAAGATCTGTTTCAAATACTACCATGGTGTTAGTGGAGCCCTCCGAGCTACTACTCCATGTATCACTGTGAAAAACCCTGCTGTGATGGTAAGTTTAGCCTATTTGTTTGTTTATTTTATGTGTGCAAGAAAATAACATTAAATATCAGCTATTCCTGATTAAAAAAGAAATCTCTTTGCTAAGAATTTGACTTTGCTTGCTTTCAAATTTGAGGTTGCACATAGGCTGTAATTTCACGCCCTGGGTAAACACTTTCCAATACCTATCTAGTTCAAACTGATTCCTTATCAAACTCTCTATTCCTTATTACTCCTTGCTAATATTTAAAGTTGATGAGACGGTGATTATTGACATAAAAAATAAGATTGACTTGAGAATAATCTTGAACTTGACTAGAATTCTTGCAGAAACAAGTGAGTTCTTTCAGTGTTCATATACCATTAAAATTTAGATTAAATACACTAATGAGAGTTACTGTTTCCTTATTACAATTTCATTACAACACTTGACCTTTTGAAATGCAGGATGTTTTAAAGGAATCTTGAATTGTTTAAAATAAATGTCTTCATTAAAACCAAAGAAACAACCAACCAAAAAAAAAAAAACCCATACTTTTTCTAAGAATAGTCTCCCAAATTTCACCCAGGTGGTTTTGATTATCAGCCAGGCTCAGGGTTCAGGTCACACAATGTTCCACAGGGCATTTGATCCGTTGTTGTTAGCTGCCAAATACATAAAACCAGAACTGCCAGGATAGTGTCGTGACAACTACAGCTGCCAGGACAGTGTCCTGACAACTACAGTGTTGCAAACGGCACAGAGCACAAGTTACTCAAGCTAGTCTGCTTTTATTCTGATGTTTCACCTACGCCTTCTCAACACTGTATGCTGCATACAGCTTGATGTTATGGTACATGATAGGTATGTGTTCTCATAGACACTGTGCTGCCTGTTATGGTAGACTGTCTACTGGAGGATATTCTATTCTTTCGGTATTGGTGATGTCCCTTATTACAGAAATTACAGGAATTTTGGTAGGTGTGAAAGAGTCAAGGCATGGATCCATGCTTTTTTTCAGTCTGTTACAAATTATCTGCCTACTTGGATCTTTCTGAATTTTGGTCTCACGTGGCTAGCCATTTGTCGAGTGCCAAATCACAACAACTATTCCAGTCTGTCGTGCATTTTGGGTAAGCAGTTGACCCTCTGAAGTGTTCATTTACACACCATTCTAGTGGAAAAAGCAGGTCTGTTCTAGCAATCAGGACAAGCACAGTTTCCCAGGTGAGCTAGTGTTCGTAGTTCAAAATTCTCAGTATTTATGGTGGGATCAGATTTGGAAATTGGGAGAGAAAAATCGAAGTTATTGTTTGGGTCGCAGTGGAACTGGAAAACCAGATATGGTGAATGGTGACAGTGGTAAGTCTGAAGGAGTGTCAGCTTTGTGGGGGACTCTTCTATTGTGAAGCTGCTGGAGAAGAGAGTTATAAATCATTGTATTACAACTGAATCGTGGGCAGTCGTATCTTTCTGTAGAACATAGGAAGTAATGAATGTTGAGTCACCGAATCAGTGACGTAACAGAAAAACACGTAGAGAACGAGGAAGATGCTTTTCTTGCTATGTAATTTTTTTAATGAGAAACTAGTACATGTTAGAATAAGCCAGAGAGAGCACCCTGTTCCTCTGACCCTGTGCGTGGGGTGTACGCGAGGATTAGCCCCTTGCTGCATCCCCGGAGCCCGTGCTTGGATCAGGGAAGCTGAGCTGCAAGGAACCCAGCGTGTTTCCGAGGCCCCCTCGGATTTCCTGCCAGCTGGTGCTCACTAGGGCTCCATACAAAGTCATTGCAGTAGGGATGTCGTGCCCGGTGGGAAAACAGCGGCATTTGGGACACTGCAGTGACAAATGCTTTACCTTGAAAGCGATGGTGAATCACGGCCCGAGCAGCGCGGCGAGGAAACGGGCTGGAATGTCGCAGCGTCACTTCCCCTCACAGCGCGTCCCCGCGGCCCCTACCCGGCCCCCGGGACCGCCAGCGTCCACGTCCAGCCCTGCATTTGTGTGGCCACGTGTTGTGCTGCATGGGAGAGTTTTGCCAAGAACGAAATCCTGCAGTATCAGTTCTTGATTTTGGCCCTGGTACATGTGCTGATTTGGTTTTGTTCTTCCAGTATGCTTGCTAATCATGGGAGGTATATGAAAGTTAATGGCATTAAATTGCTTAAAGCTCTATAAAAACATATGGCTGCATTTTCAGTTAGTGCAAGGTGGTTTTCTTAATAGTTTCCAGTCTGGCTGTCAAGTCTCCCCCAATAATTTATCATAATTTATCATAACTTCCCATAACTTCCAATTCATCTTTAAACAACTGTCCTGATGTTAAGTATTGCTTTTCATACTTGATTGACACATATAGGTACAAAATTTTTATTCAACTTATTTTTATGGCTTTTGCTTAGATTTCTTGGATTTCTTAGCTGGATTAACATCTTTCTCTTGAAAAACAATTTTTTCTGTTCATCATAAGAACTCTACTTGTGTATAAAGTAATAGGACATATGAATACATGAGAAGGTTTCTTGGGGGAAGTAATGCAGAAATCCTTTGTTTGGAAAAGTAGAAGACAAACTCTCAAAATCTCTGCAATATGAGCATAGCTTTTGGGGAACATTCATAGATAACTGAAATTCAAGAAAAGAAATGTGTTCACAGATGTGAAAACTTCTGTTAGTGTAGCTGTGATTTCTTTGCTCAATCTGTCTGCTGCAAACTATCTCTTTGTGAAAATCAACAGAAGTTACCCTAAGAATCCCAGCTAGCACATATGTGGGTATCTATTACCAGTTTACACCATTGATCCATTTTGAAACATCAAAACCCAGAAGAAAATACTTCTTTTTTTTTCGATCAGTCATTTCTTCCCGTATTATAGCCCGTATACACTCTGCTCTGGTGATTCCACGGACTGGCATGTTAACACCACATGGCATTCATAGCAGATAGATGTTTTCCTAGAAACTGATGCTGTAACTTTTCCTCTGGGTAATAGGCAGGACTTCCCTTGCGTACTGCTTTACAATTGCATAATCCTTGTCAAACATGCATAAAAACAGATGAAAACTTCTGGGAAAACTTTTGCTTCATTTTTTCTTCTCTTCAGATGGGAGTAGAAGGCATGGATGAAGGTGCTTCTGGAGCCCAGCACTCTCGGAAGTTAGTCAGCTTTACCCTTTCAGGTAAAAAGCAATTCTAATCTAGCTTTTGCGAATTATTTTTACAAAAAGAGGAAAGATGTGTTAAATAATGCATATCTCTATTAACCTCTCTAGGAGAGAGAGCTTACTCTAGTGACTTGAAAGACGTCATTATTGGGGGAGAATTTCTTTTTGCTGGAAACAGGCTAGAATTGCAAATCTCTAGGAATAAAAGAAAGGGATTTGGCGGATCTTGGCATGAGAAATTTTTCAATTTGCCCAAGGGAAAAGTCCCTCTCAGATTGAAGAGTGGAAAACTTAGCTTGGGGATAAACTGCAAGTTCATCCCAAGCCTTTGAAGGAAGCAGTAAAAAAGCAGCACTGCAAATGGTAATTTAAAAATATACATATGTACTGGTAACAGGGGCAGCGAAGCTGTCCCTACTGCGAAGCAGCAGTACAGCCAACCAACCTCACTTGTTTTCATTAGCTCTAGAGCAAAAACCATTCCTGGTTTTCCTTCCTTTTGTGCAATTTGAAGAAGGTTCTTGGAAACGTGTGTCCTTCCAAGTCTTTGTTAAGACCATTGTAAGAAAACACATTGGAAAACACATGTCAAATTGAAACTCGACTAATGGCGAAAGATGGATGTTTCACTGCAGTCTCTAAAATGAATGAGGAATCACTTAAGTGAGCCAGCTGGCAGAACCTTCCTGACCAGGTGCTTTTTATAAATCATGGCAGCATATGTCAGACATCATCAGTAACATTGTACAGTATATTACCATATTAGCAAATCAGTGTGAAATAAGAGTTTTAATGTAATTGCAAAGTCATCTGCTTCGTCCCTGGAGATGTTGCAGGTTTGTGGTCTGTGCTGGTACAGACTCATGCAATATGAAGGCATGTAGATATGATTTCAAACCAGGAGTACGCAGTGCCTTTTCATTGCTAGGGAGTGTTGGTGTTTTGGTGGCTGTCTTGCCTTTCCCAGCTGGTGAATAGACTGGGCTCTGGACAGGCAGGGCTGCCTATGTGAGCAGCAGCTCTGTGCTCTCTCCTGGCAAAGCAGCTTCTGAAGGGCTTTAGTTCACAGCTGGTGAGGGAGCGCCCCGTGCATGGACTTGATGTTTTCCAAGGGAGCTACTCTCTGTTTCCCTGCATTCCTACTGTGCAGGTGCTATTTTTTTTTTTTTTTTTAAGATTGGAAATATCTCAGGTACTGAGAAAAAGCTCTGCGTAAGTTAAAAGTTCCTGCCGTGTTTTATGTTGCGTGTGACTGAGGCCAGAATGTAACTGAGGTCGTTGCTGCTTTTCCTCTGTATAGGCCCTTGGGAAAGGACTTGTCTTCCTGCCTTAACTATCTGCCTAGTTATGAGTTCCTGTATGACTAATGTTAAGTTGCTTTACTTAGCACTTTATGGTAAATTGATTTTGTGCTTAATATTTTAGGAATATGCCGGTTCATGAACTAGTTTGATTACTGTGTTCTTTTTTTTACCTTCCTTTTTTTCGCTTTAAAGATATTAGGGCAGTTGGACTTAAAAAAGGCATGTTCTTCAACCCTGATCCCTATCTAAAGATGTCCATTCAGCCGGGCAAGAAGAGTACGTTTCCCACATTTGCTCATCACGGTCAGGAAAGAAGGTCGACTATCATCAGTAACACAACTAATCCTATTTGGCACAGAGAGGTAATGTATGCCTTTTAAGAGCTCTCTGCCAGCTGATGCAGTGTACAAGGCTTATATTTTCTCTTTATGCTTTGGTCCTGGCTCTCTCAAGGTTTTGAGCCTATTTTCTAGCTAGTGACTTAAAATGACACACAAATTAGAGTAATTCTGGAAACCCCCATGCTGGATGCTAGCAGCTATCATCTGCATGTTTAAGCTACGTGTTTATGCTACACTGCTGTGAGGTTTTCATTCCCTTCTCCGCTCACAAGAGTTGGATTCATTCAGCAACCCTGTAGACTCCTTGCAATTGCGAGAATAAATTAATTAAAGTGGATTGTATGCTGTGAGCAGCCGCTTTAAGCAAAGGTGCAGTAAGAGAGCATTTGCACTCTGTGATTGCAACCACTGTTCATTCAGAAATGATGCTCTTATTGCACATAGCAGGTGGATGGGGTTCTGTTTTGTCAGGCACGGGATGCTCTTCGGCATGTAGAAATGGAAGGAATTACAGGAAAAAAGGCAGCGCGGTGGAAGCTGCTTTTCCACTTATGCTTGGCCTGGGTGAGCTGTGAAGCCGTGCGGGTCTCGGGGGACCTGCAGCGGTGCAGTCCCACGGCTGCCTTCAACACGTGAGCAAAGCCTTGGCTTGGAAGAGGAGTGCTCCTGTGGGAACGGCGTTGGCATAAGCCCTCCTCCCTCCGGGAGTCCATAGTCTTTGAGGACCAGTGAGTTGGTCTGGAGAATATTTCCAGGCTGGAAGCAAATCAAACAAGCACCAAAGCAGGACGGGGCAGGGCCAGCGTTTGCACTGCTTCTTGAGTGCTTGTTTCCGAGAATGACTGTGGATCTGAAAGACTGTAGAGTTTGAGGGTTTTAGTTTCTAAATCAATTCAGATTCTTTTTGTCTGTCTCTCCATCTAATACGCTGTAGGAAAATCTACTCACATTTTCTCCCATCCTTTTCTTTCACTCCCCTGTTTTGCAGCTTATTGCAAAAGTGGTAATACTGGAGCATGCGTTGCATCATCTTGCTTTAACTGCTGGATCTTCCCTGTAGCAATGCTCTGACAGTACCAGCTTATGCTTCCGTTACATATGCTGGCCTAGTGGTGCAGAATTGATCTTTTTTTTGCGTCTACTCTCCTCTGCACAGTGATAGGCAATTTTATAGCAAACAGAGAGCGAGAAATTTTGTGTTTATCACAGCAGTGCCACTCTGCCATTTATGCTGCATGGGAAAGAAATTTTATTCCTAACCCAGTTTAATTGTTGTTTCTGAATATATTAAGTAGATCTATAGAGGAGCTGAAGGGTTGTTCCTTGTTTTGACTCTGTTACATGCAAACACAGTCACAGGCTCTGATACAGCGTCAGGTATCCAGCTTAGGCGCCTGTTAGCCATGGTACTGAAGGTGTGATTTGTCCAGAGATCTTAAAAGTAGAGGACAGCCTAGGCTTTTCCGAGTAGGTTTTACCCATACCCTTTTTGTTTGTTTGAAACAATCTAGAGAAAAAAAAAAGATCTTTTTTCTAGAGCTACACTCCTGTGGGAGTTTGTCAGCATGGCATGTGCATGCACTCACACTCAGATCCGCCCGTAGATCTAGTTTTGAATCTTTTGGCCACCTTCAGTCAAAAATAAATTAACGCCGTGGCAGTGTGATGATAGAAGGGGAGTTCCTGAAGCACCACCTGGACAGAGGCTCTTTCCTCCTTTACCCTGCACTGACCCCGCTACTGTTCCCCGAAGGTGTATGGTGAGGATTCCTTCTCCTTCTCCTTCCTTTTTTTTGGCATGGACCAAAGTGTGTTGCTGCGGGGAGGTTTTCTCCTGAGCACGCGCGTTTGAGGAACAGTAAAGGCAGGGGTTTTCAGAGAGGCTGATTGCACGTGTGGAAATACAGCTCTTACTAAATGATGCTGACATTATTCTCCATCATAAAAAGTGCTGTACTCATCAGTCTCTGCTTTTGGAGTTTGCTGCAAACTGGTAGTAATTATGTTCATACTTTCTGAAAAAAGGTGTATTGATATGGTGTCAAATATGTTCTTTCCTTCCAGAAATATTCTTTTGTTGCACTTCTAACAGATGTCCTGGAAATTGAGGTTAAAGACAAATTTGCCAAGAGTCGTCCTATCATCAAGCGCTTTCTCGGGAAGTTAACCATACCAGTTCAGAGGCTATTGGAGAGACATGCCATTGGGTAAATTCATATTTTTTAATGCTAACTCTCCCTCATGGTTCACTCAGCAGCTGAACTCCTGGCGCAGAGCAACCTCATCCCATTAGGAGGAGATGTAGGAAATATCCTTACTGAGAATATGTAGCCTTATTGCCTGGCTGGAAAACATTTGTGTTTCTTAGCCTGTGGTGAATGTACCCATGTTTGCATATGCGTGCGTGTGTAATTGGTTTCTCAGTTTCTTTTCAGAGCTTTTTTTTTAATCTGTGGCTAACTAGTCAAGAAGCAAGGCACTGTTTAGCACAGCTCTGTACAGTTGTGTGCAAGTTTTTTAGAACAAGCAGATTTTATTGTCTCACTTCTTTTACACTCAAAGCATTTTTAGTTGTCAGCTTAATAAGCAGACTTTTAATATCCCTTGAGCTAAGCAGGCAGAACTGCGAGGCTGTGCCTGGTTGTTTTTCAGGATGTTGGCGATATGGCACTACTATTTTTCTTTTTTTTTTTGATTTTTATCTTTAACAAAAGGCAGTATAGTACAGTGTGTTATTTTTGCCAGAATCTTTTGACCTTTACATGCTAGATTTGACACATCAGGTAGAAAAAATAATTCCTCAGAAGATGACAGGAGGAACCAGATTGTTCAGCTCTGTTTTGTATAGGGCTTAACTCAACGGCCACCAAAGTTAATGTGTCTCTATTAACTGCAGGTGGGAATGAGACCCACCTGGAACAGTGGAAGAATGTTTTCTTCCTGGAGAGTTTAAGAGCATGGCAGTATCATCATGCTTTTGTACAAAAAGCAGGATATAAACAACTGCCTCTGTTTTCAAAGGTATTCCCATCAAAATAACAAGTTGCATAAATAGAGCAAAGCAAATTCAGTTTGAAAACAGGTTTCAGCTTTAAGTTTACAAAGTGGTGGTTACCCTGGTAAGTAAAATCAGAATAAAAAAAAAACAAAATAAAATATTAAGAGTAATCTTAAAATCGTGATTGTGTCTTCTGATACTGAATTTGTTTTAAGAAAATGAAGAGCTGCCCGTGTACTTTGTAATGGTCTGCAAGTGCAGTTCAGATGTACACACTTACAATCTAACTTTGCTAAGAAATGTTTCATCTCTGAGTTTCAACAAATTGCTCTAAGTTGACACAAGGAGCTTTCTCTAATAAATCTGCCCACTGCTACATGCTAGGAACAGCATGGTGACAAAGATTTTCTTTCAAAATCTGGGTCAGGGTGGTCATTTCCATGCTAAATTCCCAAATGTTCTTCTGCCCTGGGATTCCTGGTGGTGTGAAGTCCAGGAATCCCTTACCTTGTTCACCATGTTCATCCATATGCATCCAGTTCTTTTCTTTTTCTTTTACTTTTTTCCTAAACAAAAATGCTGGAAGAAATTTTCTACTTTCTTCTCTACACCTCAGTTAAGCATATTTGATAAACCAGATTTTTTGTAGGAAAGAAACAGATGTGCAATAAGTATGTAGGTGGGACCTGGGTAAGTATTCAGTTAGCTTTTGCCATGCTGCTGTTGGAACAGACTTTAAATAAGTCTTGCAGATGTTTTTACTTCTATCTGCAATTTATGCCTATTATTTAGGGTGTGTTTTTTGGGGGGTTTTTGGTGCATATCCGGCACAAGTATGAGAATGAACTGCACCCAGAGCAGGCGTTTCAGAGACTGGTCTACTCCTGGCAGTGTCGGAGAGCCCTGTGTGCCTCTCAAATGACAGTCCTCTGAGGACACCCCAAGGCTGGCTGAAGAATTGTCACTGGGGTACAGAGACATGCATCGGTGACACAGATCCGCCGTGATCTGGTGCACTGTGGCCCATGGAGCATCCCGAGGAGGCTGCTTTGCCTCACATTGTCCACTTCGGGCTTTTTTTTTGCCTAAAGCTGATGTTTGGATGCAAACTGCTGCAGCCTGTTTGCATATTTACCTTGCAGAACTTTGCTTAGAAGAATGCATTTTAGTGTATGTCACTCATACTGCAATCAGAGTGCTCCCAGCAGAAGAGAAACGTTTATACCAGTGTAAATTTATTTGCAGCAAATTGTAAGCATGTATTTGAAGTTAAATTCAAGCATTAAAAAACACAGGAATGTGTTTAGGCAGATGAAAAAAAAAAAAAGGCTAGGAGTTTTGTATAGAGTAAAAAGCCACAAGGGGGCAGAATGTTTTCAAAAATGCAAGGGTTTTGTTAATTACAAAATATAAACGTTTTCATTTGGGGATTGAGGAGGTAGAAGTTCCCTTACAGTTTGGTTTCTTTTGGAATTAGGAGCAAGTTTAGGGTTATACGACAGTTTCTGGGGCACAATCCCTATTTGAAAATGATAAAAAGTAGTGTGTAAGGCTGTTTTGTCTCTTCACTTCGGGTATTTTAGGGCATTGCTAAAATTTGTCTCCATATAAGCCAGGACATGAGACTGGTCTTAAGAATGCAGAAATCAGTGCATGTTGATTCTATCTGATAAGAGTGTCTATATGTGCTGGAAAAGTAAAAATAAAGCAGTTAAAACTGTAAAGACTAATATCTTTGTTTTTGCAGAGACCAGATTCTCAGCTATAATCTTGGCAGAAGGCTCCCAGCTGATCATGTCAGTGGCTACCTCCAGTTCAAAGTGGAAATCACATCGTCTGTCCATGAAGGTGCGAGTTTGTCAGTGATCTGGATCTTCAGATAGGATGGAATTTCTGTGGTAGTTCTCCTTCTAGGTTTTAGTATGACAAGTGATTCCCATTTGTGTAGAGTGTCTCTGTTACAGATTTTTTCTAGCAGGAGTCAAATCGGGGGTATTTCAGATAACTCTTTGGAGATGTTATTGCTGAAATATTGATATCTTCCCCTATTGTTCTTCTATTTTATTATAGTTATATTTTAAATGGATGTGTTTATTATTCAGTTTTATGAGACACAGTAGGTAGTCTAATTTGTTGTTTCTGGTCACTGTGGCACATACAGTGGCTACCTACAGCTGAGATAAAGAGTTGCAAGTGAGATTCCACTCACGTTCTCCTCCTCTCCTAGCATATATGCAGATCACAGTGTTTTTTTCCCTTTACAGGACTCTGTCCTGCTCAAAACTGAGAATATCTGTCACGGTTAGAAGAATATATGGTTCCATTCTTAAATTTCTTGTGCAGAAGTACAGACACTTACAGCTGGGTTTTTCAAATCTGTACCTGTTTAATTCCCATGTGGGAAATTATTATCTCGTTGCTCAAATGAGATATACTATAAAGAATGACTCTTTGATTGAGGAGTTGACTTTACACAGTTTTGCAGGATGCTGGACAGTGCTGTGCCATTTGAAAGCAGGATGGTGCTTCACAACCATGAATTTCCTTTATCCTACAAGATACTATAGATTTATACAGAGAAAATTCTGTCATTGTTGCAGATGCCTGCATTGATTTAATTGTAAGCAGACATCTTGAAAGAGGAGTATTTTTGTACCATGCCTGTGATGCAAAGAAAATGGAATCAGTTGTCTGTAACTATGTCGTGTTCAAGTTCAGTCATTCTCTGTTGCTCTGCAGATGCTTCACCAGAAACAGTGGGCACTTTGCTGGGAGTGAACTCTGTCAATGGGGACTTGGGGAGCCCCTCTGATGACGAGGACATGCCAGCAGGACATCATGATACATCCACAGTATGTTCCAATGGGCCAGTCCTTGAGGAATCTTCCGGAGAAGCAATTCCCAAACACCCTTTAAGGACTAGTGCGACCCTGGAAACAGACCAGGATGAGTTAACCTCTACTGCTTCAAGATCATCACCTACCAGAGGTCGCCAGGACTCTCTGAATGACTATCTGGATGCAATAGAACACAATAATCATCCCAGACCTGGGACATCTGCCTGCGGTGAGCGTCCCCTTGGGGCCTCCCCAAAACTGAGGAGTAGCTTCCCTACTGACACAAGACTTAATGCTATGCTTCACATTGACTCGGATGAAGAAGAGCATGAGCTACACCAAGACCTGGGCTTTCCGTCCTCCTTGGACGATGAGGGTGGTTTAGTAATGCTTAATGGTGCTACAAGAAATGCTGAAAGAAATGGTTCAAGTTACTCATCAGATCAGATAATGCAAGGGCCTGCAGAGAATGAAAATGCTTCAGCCTCTGAAGCTCCTTTGCAATCAGCTGATGACCAGCAAGAGACTCTCCAAGAGCTTCCTTCATCCCAGGTGGCAGGAGATGAAAGCCTGCAAGACTCTCGAAGCGAAACACCAGCAGAACAGAGTGGCAGTGAGTTATGTGCTGCTCAGGAGGCAGAGCAGCCTCCTGGCAGCGTGGACTCGGGAGCTGCCGATGCTGCTGCTGGGAGCAGAAGAGGTGCTAGTGAAACTGAATCCATCGACCAAGGGTCTGAACCTTCCCAGGTGTCATCAGAAACTGAGCAGAGCGACCCTGCTCGCACGGAAAGTGTGAGTGAGGCTAGTACCAGGCCAGAAGGGGAGAGTGATGTGGAAGGGGCAGACAGCTCTTGCAATGAAGGTGCCACGGTGCAGCGCTCCTCCGTTGAAACACGGTGCGCTTCTTTTGAAAGCGCCAGGTTTCCGGAGACCCCAGCCTTTACTTCTCAGGAAGAGGAAGAGGGCGCTTGTGGCACTGATGTGGCCAGAACTGAGGCTGTTGCTGAAACACAGGCCGCTGCAAATGCTTCTGGCTCTTTACCTGCAGTACAGGTCCCTCAGGAGGAGGTGCAGGAGGCTGAAGCAGCTGAATTACAAGACCAAGAGGAAGCAGAAGAAATTTGGCAACGGAGGAGTAGCCTGCAGGCGGCAGCTGCCAGTAGCCAGTCTCAAGATGAAGAAACTGAAGGAGCCCAAGCAGCTTGTGAGGGTGCTACAGCAGAGCTGGAAGGAGCTACTGGAGGTAATAGCTGCAGGAGGCACTTTCTGAAGTGCCTTGTCCTTTCTGCAGCCATTGAAAATTATTTTAAAAATGAACAACTGAAAATAAAAACCTTAATCTCTCAATTTTCAGTATCTCTCAAGTTTTTTTTTTTTTTTTGGCACATGAGGGTTACTTTGCTCAGGAGGCTCTGAGGGATTTTAAAATGAAGGGAAACCAAAATATCCAAGCAATGCTTACTTCAAAATTAGGAATAACTTTGAGAGAGTAATGGTAAAGGTGAATAATTCTGGAGTATTACCCTGTTGGTTCATCAAAGAAAAAACAAGGGAAAAACAAAGTGTGGAAATAGAAAAACGTTCCTGTTTTCTTTGAATTGTTTTTGACCTGAAGAAAATATGTGTATGTTTTGGCAAACAAACATAAGGATAATTAAAACTCAGATTTTGGTTGCACTTCAGACCGATTGGCTTATTTTTCCAGCTCCTTATCTAATGCATATCATAGTGCAACTGGAACCATATGGGGAGGGGAGCACGTTACTCGTGTTAACCATATAAAAAATTCACCCGTTGTAAAACAGAGAATTTAGAGTGTTGCTCAGTTCATTGGAAATAGAAGGGTGTCCACAATAGATCTTTCCCAAGCATGGATTCATCCACTCCCTTTCTTCAGGGACTGAAGTGCATGTCATCAGGTGGGTGCAATCACGTAGGATTGTTGGATGCATCCTGTTGATAATGTGTCTGAAATTGGGAGCGCTTCCTTGTCTTTGAAGCTCATTTTGTTCTGGATACGCTTATAATAAATAATCTCTGCCATAATATTTTATTGAAATTAAATAAATATTCCCAAAGAGCAAATTATTTCTTTCAAGTCTGAGAGTACTAAATTGCACCAGATATCTTAGGGAACAATGGTCCATGTTCTGTTTAGAAAAGAAAAAAAAAAAAAAAGGAATGAAATAAAATGCTGTGCCTGCTTAAGTCATAGAAATACTGGGCAGATCTTACTGCCTGTTGTTATATCTGGAGGTGTAACATATCTCTACTATCTGCCTACATGGTGCATGTTTTATGAAGCAAAGGAAACAATTTCTTTTCTAGTGAAAATGCTTACTAGCTTAGTTTGAGAAACATTGTTTTCTTCCTTATGGTTATAGTTTTTGTGGGGGAGGAGGATTACGTGTTTTTTACTTCTTTCCTTCCCAAACAGGTCTTTACCTTAGAGTAATGTTGGTATACCTTACTAAATAACTGTCAGTATATTCCGTTACAGGGTTTTCCAGGCATTGAGGGGACGGTTGAGTAGGTGTCAGTGCGCATCCCGCTTGGCGGCTCCGCGCGGGCGCCGCAAGGAGGGTCGGTGCCGTTCGGGCCTGCGGGTTTCGGTGCCCGGCCGGAGCCCCGGGCCTTGCTGGGCCGCAGCTCCGCGCTGAGGCGCCGCCGCAGTCCCAGCGGGCCGTGCTGGGTGACACCCCCAGGGCATGCTGAGAAAACGCTTGCCCTACACATAAATGGCTTTTCCCTGAAAAGCCAGATGAGTATTAGGAGTATCCTAAAATGCGATACAGAAGCCTTGACACCTCTTACTCACGTTAGAACTCTGGGGGCTTCCCCATGTTGATTGAAAAGTGATTTATGGCGTTTTGATTCTAGGTGCTCAAGCCAATGGCCATCAGCCCTTGAGGTCGCTGCCTTCAGTACGTCAGGATGTTAGCCGCTACCAGAGAGTGGACGAGGCTCTGCCACCAAGTGAGGCTCTTCATGCTTTCTTTGGGGGGTAGCCTGCTTAGATCTCATCATCATCATTATTATTACTGTTATTTTTAACATGAGAACTGAGAATGAACTGAGAGTGAGCAACTGAGAAGCTTCAACTGAGAAACGATGATTAAGTGTTGGCTTATTTTGTAAAAGGCACTGTGCTCTGTCTGCACAAAAAAATGTGTTACGATGATCATGCCTAATGTATACAGACTTGTTAAGTGAAATCTGTGGAGAAGTAGGATGAAATGATGTTGCCTTTTCAGCATGCAGGACCCAAGGGTAAGGCAGTGAGGTTGTATGAGGCACTCTGAAAGCTGTGAATACGCTTCATGTTTGGTGATGACTTGTAAAGAAATGTGTGATGTCTTTCAGTCTCCTTTGAGATGAAAGCGGTCTCTTGCTTGCCTTTTTCTTCTGAGAGTCAAAACCTTTCGAGTATAAAATAAACCTGGGTATTGAGCAATTGTTGGCTGCTCCTAGTTTGGCTGAGAGATTGTCATTTCCCATTTATCTGAAACCTATGAAAAATGTGTCATTCCCAGATGTTGGACAGATGCCCTGAGATAAACCTGAAGCAGTCAACAATGCTTTAATCGGTATTAGATACTTGAAGAAAGGACAAAAAAAGGGAAAAAAAAGAAGAAAAAGAAAGAAAGAATAAAAGAATAAAAAGCTGTTCAACCAATAGCAAAACATTATAGTTAAAATTTCCCAAGCAGGTGCATTATTATGTTCCATTAGTCTAGCATAAGCCATTCCTGATTTAATGTGCATTATTGCATTAGAAACAAATAATAGTTTTGAAGGCTGTGATCATTAGCAGAATGAACCAGAATGAGTGATAGTTTAAAGGAGTCAGGAATTCAGATATCGAGTTTAAAAGTGAGATATTTGAGTTTCACTGTGTGGAACGGGCTTGTGTTTAATTTGTAATTAAAGAAGGTAATTGTAAGGAGCCTGATATCAGAGCGCAGATATAAATATGTATTGAAATGCCAGGGCGATGAGAAGATTTTATTTACGTTTGTTTTCATAATAATAAGTGTATATAACAAATCAGACCTGTCCACAGATCTCAAAGTTAATCAACTACCACCTCAGCAAACTAATATTGCTTTTTATAAGATTGTGCGTGGGAGAAATATACTTTGTTTGTATTTTAATCGCCTTTCATACCGAAAAAGGCAGAATATTTTGGGAAATGTTCAGTAATAAAGGGTGGTAAATAGAAATGCATTCAGATAGCTTTAGTAGGGCAATGGTTTGTCCGTGGACTGGCCTTTTGGTTTCAGAAGCAAACTGTGCACTCTAATAACTACCTGAAACCAATACAGCAAAGTTATAGACTTTATAAAGTTATTTCTTCATAATCTAGGCTGCATATTGTATTTGTTGTTTCATCAGAATCTGAAAGAGAAAAGAGAAAGATAGGCTTATTTCTTTCCATTTTGCTTTTTCCTTTTTTTTCTTTTCAATTTTGCGAGTTAAGAAATGAGGAAGAATTAGAATATTCATCTAGTATGTCTAGCTGCAACATGCAACTTTGTGCTCTGATTGCTACATGCATTCCTACCTTCATTCCTAGGACAAAATCAACAGATCGTAGAGGCTTGACTAAACAATCTTGACCAATAACAATTTTGCATTTCATAACTTTCAAGCTTTTGAAAATGAGGTTTTCTAACACATCTGACTAATGATGATTTGACTAACAGAAGGTAATCCTTGTCCATCGCAGCAGTGATGCAGGTGCTCAACTTTAGTGGAGATTGCTCAAGTCTGTAAATTTTTGTATTTGATGTTGAATGAAGGCAAAAAATGTTTTTTTTGTTTTTTTTTTTGTTTTTGTTTTTTTGTTTTTTTTCCTGTGTCAAGATCACATCATAGAAATGGTGCCTGCTGCCCAGAATACTGCTGGCTTATTATTAGCACTGGTTAAATGTTCCAAATCAATATTTTTAACTCTCCAGAAGATGATGCTTTTTTGATTTCAGCAGAAGGTGCTTTTTGAAAATGGGTGCTTTGCACAGGAATATCTATTTCAGTATTTACTTTTTCTTTAGGAGGAAAAATGGAAACAATTTTCAGAGAATGCTGGAACACTGAAATGTTTGCTTTTATTGGGATGAAAATGAGATGATTTTGTTCGGAATAACATTGAAATATGTTATAATTTGAAGAACTGATACAGTAACCAAACCATAACCTTTGCACTGTTGTAATTTTCTTTATTCTGAATTATGATTTTTAATGGACAGTATACTTCAAAGCCAGGGTGGGGCACGTTTTCAGGTTTGGAAAAAGAAGACATCAAAATGCCTTTCCTGCACAGCTTTCACATGCACTAATAGTGCTCTAGACACTAGTAAATTGGTAGACATTCTTACAGGCTTTTTCTTTGAGGAGCAGGAATTGCATAGACTTGCTTGCTAGCCAGTGGTCTTTTAAGGTTTGAAAGGGCTTGAACATTAAAATTGTCCATCTTCTTGGACAGATTTGCTTACCTTTAAAGTAGGTGCATGCAGCATCCAAGAGGAGCACTGGGATCTATTTTGTTATTGCTCTTACTACTGTTAGCTGAGAAAATGAGGGGCAAATGTAAAGCTTTGCAAGATTTCTGGTATTTAGCCCCTGGCCTTTTGTGTTGGGATAAGCCTCTTGGCATAATTCAGGGCAAGAGAATAAAACTGAGTCTCCTGAATTGTTTTTTTCTGGGACAATCACTACTTAGTGGGGGATCATTTCTATTTATTTCTGTATGCTATTAGATAGGAACTCCATAGAAACTCCCTATGATGGGGGATTTAATTTATGGGATAAAATCAGGGAAAAACAGTGTTTCTTAACCCTTCAGTGAGAAAGTTCTGTGCTCAAATCATCCTGTAGCAGAGAAAGAGAAATCAAGAGTAGTAGATTCAGTGGCAAAAAGAAGCAGAGCTCAAAACCTGAATAAATAAGCGCCAACCCGGCCGCAGTTCACAGTATTTTGTTGCTCTCTTCAGACTGGGAGGCTCGGATCGACAGCCACGGGCGGATTTTTTATGTGGACCACGTGAACAGGACCACGACGTGGCAGCGGCCCACAGCCCCCCCGGCCCCGCAGATTCTCCAGAGGTCAAATTCCATCCAGCAGATGGAACAGCTGAATCGCCGGTGAGGTTTGCTGCTTGCGGACTGTGTGGCTCCAAAGCGGTGCTCCCCGGCGCGTGACCCAGACGGGGCTGGGGCCCAGTTGCTGCTGCAGCTGGCCGTGCTTGCTGTCCTTGTCTGTCCTTTTTAGCTGGCACGTGGGCTTTTAAAGCGTTCCTCTGCCACCTGTGCTCAGCAGCACTGCGGCTAACAAAAACTGCTAACGGTTGTCAGAAATTCAGAGCACAAAAGGCTATTAACACCGAAATTGGGGGATGAGTGTATATGAACCTGTATGAGAGAAAAGATAGATAAGCCTGGCTTCATTATTAGAGTCCCCTGGAGCCACAATTGAATCATAGGTACAATATATATACAATATAGGTACAATATATATACATATATAATATATATACATATATATATAAGTCTAGTTTTCTGTCCCTAGGTACCAGAGTATCCGAAGAACAATGACTAATGACAGGCCTGAAGAGCACACAAATGCCATGGATGGAGCTGGAGAAGAGACGGATTTTCACCATTCGAACGCAGGTGAAAAATAAAAATAAAAAAAAGAAGGAGCACTCAACTTGTGAGTGACCCAGTAAGAGTGATGTAAGGCAGAACCTGCTTTCAGTTCCTGAAAATCTGAGGCACTGCTTGCCTGATAGTAGGTTGACCCCGTTAGTCAATCTACTATCTTTTCTCTTAAAAGGTTTTCTTAAATCTATGACTTCCTGGTTTTCCTCATGCGTTAATTTTTAGACCTTTGAGTGTTTTGTTAGTCTACCCAGGATGGTGTTCATTTGGTCCACAGTGCCTGAAGGATATTTCAGAAAACTAAGTAAAGCTACAACTGTATTGCCTTGAGGAGACTGGGAATTTTACTGCATGTATCTTGTATACAACACTTCCTTACACATGCCTACTATTTTTCCTGATGGTTTGATGCTAAGCACAGATATGCAGCCTTTGATCCATTAAAATCCGGTTCAGATCTTTTTTTTTTTACAGTTCCAGGATGCTATTTTTCAGCTTGTGCAGTTGATTATCCTTACCTGCATGCACGCTGTCATTATATCTTGGCACTTTTCTAGTTTGTTATTATGGTTTTGAATCTTAATCCTACCCTCCAAGTGCTGCGGCTTCTGCTAGTTGGCATCATCTGCACATTTTGTCATCTTTATCCAGTCGTTGATACAGCAAATACAGAGATTGGATGAGACTGTTTGTGTTTGACAAAATAACTCGTACCTGCCCCTCAGGACAGTCTCACCAGCTGCTGCATACCTTTCTCTGGGTAGTGTCATCTAGTTAGATAATATTCTCCCCCAAAGCGATTACAAGAATATCAGATAAAACAGCATTTGAAGGCCTAGCCGATACCAGGAGGTATGGCCTACTGACCACTCCCCATAGGAAGAGAGGATTACATTAGTCTGCTATAATTTATTGTTCAGAAAACCCAGTTATTTTTGTGTTGTTTTATCTTTCTATCTTCTAAGTGCATTAAATAATTTGATAATTCTCATAGTTTATGTGTCTTTTTGGGAACAGAAGATAAGCTGATTTGTCTTTTAGTTTCTTTCATCTTTCTTTTTCCTGTTCTTAGAGATAGATGTAATATTTATTCCTTTCATATCTCAGAAGCAACTGCAGATTTCTCTGTGGTGGTTTTGTCTAGTTTCATTCACTCTGGTATTCTAGAGTGTACTTTGTGAGGCCCAAAGTGTTTGAAAATCTCTGATTTAAGGAGTAAATATATATATATACACACATATATACTCTTTATTTAATGAGCTCAGGCTTATTACTGCTTTTCTCTAATCAGTTCTTTCATTGGTCGTCATCCCACTACCAGCTTACTAATACATTTAGAAAGATAATGTGTTATGCATTTAGTCCTTTGCATAGTTGAGTCTCGTTCTGTACTTCGACATTTTCTCCAGGTTCTCTTGATCTCCTGTTATAACCCTCCTTCCTAGGGAGGTTCTCTCCTACCCCTGCAATGCCACTGTCCTGAGTCACTGAAGGACTTGCGATTTAGCCTTAGGTGGCCTCTTTATTCCTCATTTCTACTTAGCCTTCTCCTTTTGCAAATTCAGACTAAACCCTAATCGATAAGTCCACCTGAATGAGACTCTCATAAACCAAATTGAGAAGCCTACTTATTTCCCCCATCCTGCATTTTTACCAATCTGTATTTAACATTTCACTCTTCTTTCTATTTTGTTCTACATTGCTGTGTTTATACTCATTTGGCATTTAATAGTGAGACTCAAGTTGATGCAATAAGGTAATACATAAAATGCAGAGCATGTGAAGCGTAGAAGGTGGCCTGTATTTTGGAGTAAAATCACTGCAGAGCTAGTCTGAATTTACCAATTTTCATTTACTTTAACAGATACATCCATATATCCTGTGGATTTTCATAGTCCGGGGAGAGTTTTAACACTGCAGTGTTTAACACTACATTCATAATATAGTTTCAGTTCCTGATAGTGTTGAAAAATCAGTGCCCCTCACAGTTGCTATGAGAGGAACGAAACATTTAGTGAAAGCTGAACTGGAGAGGTACTCCCTGGCAACCCTTTTCTTATTTGTGTAAGCTGGTTACATATTGTATTGGGATCAGGGCTGTGTTGCTAGCAGAGATTTGCCTTTCTTAAAACAAGGAATAAAACAGTTCTAAGTGTGCAATGTGTCTATATTAGTCAGCATTTAGAATACTGTTATCTCTGTACAGCAAGGACAGAGTTGCCCCAGGTACCTTCTCATGTGCTATGCCCAGATGTGTTTGGTACCCCAAGGAATTAATTCCTTTTTTAATCTTTGAAGTCCAAAAGCAATGAATAAATGTTGCTAAACACATGGATTCTGCTATTTTCAGGAACTTCAGTGCTATGTTAGAATGATTTCCAGTACACTCGTTGAGAATATTTATGAAGTCTGATATTGCAGTGTCTTTGGTTGATGACTGTTACTGGACATTTTTGTCATTAATTTTTTCACTAGATTTTCGGAGAGAGAACGTGCTGCCTCACTCTACCTCCAGGTCCAGACTTACGTTATTGCTCCAGTCTCCCCCTGTGAAATTCCTGATCAGCCCAGAGTTCTTCACAGTGCTGCATTCTAACCCCGTGAGTACAGTGTGCACGTGTGAAAGACTTTCTTACATATGTGTGTGCATTTCTAAATGTGGATGTCTTATATACAAAGATATTCCTCTGTTTGATACTAAGATGTTTGGTAGTGCCTAGGGAGGCTGGATGAATTCAGTGCTCATCACCATTCCTTGAAATTGGGATATCAGAGATACAGCTGATGTTACAGCTTCTTCAGCTTTTATTTTTAACTCCTCTTTCTTATGTCACTAAACTGTTTTGTTTCTCGAAGGAATGGGTTTTTTAACCATCCGCTGCAGGGAAAAATTGGGGAATCTTTTTAAAGTCGCTTTGCTGCTCCTGAGATGATCTGTGCCCTCAATTTTGCCTGTTTCTATCTAAATACATTAGAGATCATTGAATAAAAATACATTGTAATATTCATTCTTTTCTGTTTTCCTTTTTCTTCAATCTTCCTTCCTACAGTTACTTGTTCCAGCATCCATTTTTCTCTGCACAACAGGGTTCACAGTATAAAAAGCAGTAGTGAAATGAGTAATATGTTATCTGCAAGCACACTTGTTAATAATTCTTTTTTTTTATCTACTGGTCACTGGTGGCTTAGTTTTAATACATACATATGCTTGTGCATTTTTGAATAATTCTTGTGGGCCTTGTACAGCTTTATATTTAATACCTGAAGTGGTGTAGATTCAGGTGAGACCAGGGAGGAGAGGGAAGGGCACAGAGGGAGTAGCACAGGCCCCAGGAGGGCCCAATGTCCCCCTTCCTGTCAGGGCTCTATTGCTGATCCTGAAGCAAAGACCTGGTTTTTGGTTGTCTGTGAGTTTGTTCTTGTTCGTTTTGTTCTTCAGGGGGTTGCTTTCCCCTTCTGTTTAAAGTCTTCCCTATTCCTCTGCGCTCTCTTTTTTTAATTTTATTAGATAGGCTACAAGTAGACATGCAATTATAGACTTTGGGTGTTTTTTTGGTTTTGAGTCTTTTTCTTTTGAGAAATCACTGAGTGGAAACAACATTTATGCACGTTTTTTGATGAGTTCGGAACAAGTGTATGTGCCAGCAAAAAGCTAGGCAGCTTTTTTGCAGTGTTCCATGGCTGCATTTGACTCCTTACTCCACAGTTTAGAGAATAGCTGTACAATTTTCTACTTTTTAAGCAATTTCAATGCTCTGAGGCGCCTTGCAGTTCCCGTGTGAGGAGTGTGGTGAATGGAATGTGAAACAACGTTTCCAACATTGAGAGGTGATTTGGTAATGGGAGTTCCTATATGCTCATCTCAAGTCCTCAGTATGAGGACATTTTTTTTTGTTACTTTTGTGGTGTAGTTGAAAGGCTTTTTAAGGTTTTATAGATAATTAGGTCTTTTTTAAAAAAAAAAAATAGAAAAAACACCTTTTGTAGTAACAAGAATGGATGATTCTTTTTGATGTAAATTAGGTCTGAAAGCATAAAGTATAATGGGAGGAATTTACTCAGAAAGTGCTTATTTTCTCATTTTTCACAAGACTGTCTACTTACCTACTGATCAGTGCCCCAGATCAGGATATCCATAAAACATATGCAACATTTTAAACCTGTGGGCAGCCCCACTGACTTGAACTACTTCTGGCTAAAATTCAACACTTTCCAAATTCAGAGCATCTCTTTTTATTGCAGTGGTCATATAGGTCTCTCCCAGTTTCCTGAAAGCAGTCTCCTCAGAGTGGATTGAAATTACTGTCTATTCATCAGGCAGACATGGATGGAACTGCTGGACTCGTATTTTTTCATGTAATATTTTGTCTTACCCAATGAATTGTTTTTGTTGTGGGTTTTTCAGAGTGCCTACCGCATGTTTACAAGTAACACGTGTTTGAAGCACATGATCACCAAAGTCCGGCGGGACACCCACCACTTCGAGCGCTACCAGCACAACCGTGATTTGGTGGCCTTCCTCAACATGTTTGCCAACAAGCAGCTGGAGCTGCCGCGAGGCTGGGAAATGAAACACGACCACCAGGGCAAGGTAACTGGAACCAATGTGCAGCTCTTTGCTTGGCGTTTGCTCTTGAATATTGCAATGCCAGACTTGAGTTGGTTGCTCTTGATGAGAGCACGAGTGCACAGAGTTCTCCACATACAAAAGGTACACGGCCCCTGCTCCTTCCTTTGCTCACCAAAGACTGGAATTTCTCATCTGTGCCAGTAGAGCCTTAATTGAAAGGGGAAAGAGACTGGTAGGTGAATATAAACATTGCAAGAAAACTCGGTATGAAGCCCTTAGCCTTTTTATTGTGAAATAAGTTGCTTTGATTCCCCTGGATGCTTAAAGCTTCTTTTGAAAGGAAGAATTCTCTCTTCTATAAATCTAGGCACTTCTGTGAAGTTCTTTGGAGTTTTGCCTGTGTATCTGGAAGAGAATTGAGATGGAAAGTTATTAAAGTATTTTCTATAGAATTTTGTCTGCTTATTACTGAGCTTCCTGTTTAGCTGTCAAGATTTTCCTTAGAGCTTTTTTTTTTTCTCCTTCTTCAGCCTTCGGAGTGGAATTTATGAGCATGCAGTGTTTGCCTTTTTTTTTTTTTTCTTTAGTAGCTACCAGGTGAGTTCTCCATCCACATGCTAAGTAGATCCAATGTTCATCAACTTCTGAGGTGAAATGGATGCGCTAGGACTCTAGGGATGGCCACTCTGCTTATGTGTTGGCTAACAGTAAAGAAATTGTGTGTAGCAAGTTTTACTAAATAGTGTGAATCTTGAATAGTTGCAAGCCATGTTGACTTGTAAAGCAGACAGTTACAGATCACAGTAGAAGTTGTAAGAACATATTTTAAAATAAAAGGATAATAACTGACACTTATTTTTACAGTGGGAATGGAATTTTAATGCAGCTTTGAACTATGTAACTTTGCTATCTAGAACATGATTTCTTTGCAGAAAATAGGAAGGATAAAAATAGACCGTGATGAGCATGTGAGGAAGAGATAAGGCTATCAGCTTGTGTGAGACGTCCTAATTAAGACTTTAGGCACATTAAGCCTATCAGTTCTTACGTTTATCAGTCTTGGCACGCTTAGCTGCAAATGTTCACATAAATAATGATCTCGATGCCTGAGAAGATTACGGACAGATTTCTAAACTGAAGGGCCAGAAAATGTGCTTGAGGGTTGTTCTCTTGAATTTATTAACTTTGGAAAGCACTGCATTTTTTCATCATAAACAAGATTAGAAGTATGCAATTATAGTAACCCAGTTATTTGCCTGTCTTACTCTTTTCTGTTCTAAATCATCCTTTTCTGTTCGTTTCCTCAGGACTCAGTTTCCTCCTGAGGAATACAGTAGTAGTTTCAATTGGTTTTAATAGGTGCTCCAGAGAGAGAACTAAACCTCTGGATTTCTACTGTGGTTTTTGATAATGATTATGCTACTATAACATTAATCACCAACAGGAAGCACTGAATAAATCCCCCTGGGATTTCTTCACTTTGAATTATGCTTAGTATTATTCATTCTCATTATGTTGAATTGTCTTTTTCCCACTTGTGGCCAGCCGGAATGCTTATTTAGCACACAAATCAGTAAATGATGAGACCAAACCAAAGTGAACCTGCCTTTAGCAAAACATAGACCGAAAAGAGGCGAGCAGAGATTAGCCATGCTACAACATGTAATTCTATCTCCTCTCCGTGGCTGCTGAGCCTGCTGAGACAAGGATTTCCGTAACTTTTGTGAGTTTGTTGTAGCATGATGTCCTTGCTCCTGCTCGCAAGGAACAGTAATTCTCATCTGCCTTTAAATATAAGCTGCAGATACTAAGGAGAGCAGTGCAGCTGCATACAGTTCTGGTCCCCTCAGAGACTGTCTTCCCTCATAAGGCTGGGGCTGAACGTAGCAAAGGCCCCTCGGCTGCTTGTCCTTTCAGAGACACATTTAGCTGTCACATTTAATGGGCTATCTGCAGCTTTGGCTCCATTCATATTTTAACAGTCTCTTTAAACATCATGAATTTATGGATTACAGCTAGATAGGAATTATGAACAGATTTTTTGGTTTTGAAAACAGACTGAGCTACAGTGTATTCCCAGCTGTCAAATGTCCAGAGTAGCCCAAAGCTAGGAAGCTCCAATGATTGTCTTCAGTGGAGCTTCAAAATAGTAATGTATGCTTTACTTTAAAATAGTCTGCTATTAGCTGGGCCTTCAAGCGTTCATGTTTAATAAGACCTGATTGTCTTTAAGTTAGTACTGAAGTTGTTTAACTGTAAGTGTAACTGTAAAGCCAAAGAGCACTACATGCAATGTCAAACTGGTGCAATGACTCAAAGAACGGCGTAATGCAACTCTAAGTATTCCTTCCTCTCTGTTGAATCATTATTTTTATTTCCTGATATTTTCTTTCCTGAATGCTTTCGCTATGTGATGTTGACTACATTAAATCAAACTTTTTCTAGTTGGGATTTGGAAGGAGTGAGGAAATTTCATCAAAATGAAGGTTGTACCAACTAGACCGTATGTAGCCTGGACTAGGTAGAATAATAAATAGAGGAGCTTGCAATGCATATCGACTGCCTGCTCACAAGTTAAACAAACCTGTTAAACAGGAGCAAAAATTGCAACAAGCCTGGATCCATTCTAGCAGCCTCTTCCAGCCTTTTGTAAAGCCCCAAAATGAAATTTCAAAGCGACTTTCATTCTGCTTTCCTCTAGTGAGATGGAAAAATGTTATCCCTATTCTGCCAAAAGGAAATGTGAGCTATGGTAATGTGAAAAGATTTCCCAAAGTCTCGTATCAGTGGCTGAAACATGGAGTCTGAATGTATGTAAACCTTGGACACGTGCTCGAGGGTGGCTCGGTAGTGGTGGGTATTGACTCTGAATTCTTTCCTGGTTCTGTTCCTCCAGGCCTTCTTCGTTGACCACAATTCCCGAACGACCACGTTCATCGACCCACGGCTGCCCTTGCAGAGCAGCAGGCCCACGAGCGCGCTGGTCCATCGGCAGCACCTGACCAGGCAGCGCAGCCACAGCGCCGGAGAGGTGAGCCTCATGCCTGCCAAAAGCAGGCACTGTGTTAACATCATCCTGCTTCACGGTGCTGCATTTCATTCTTGTAATTTTGCTAGGATGTGTGGAGTATATGTGGTGAGTTGTGCTCTGCAAGGGTATGGTGCTCACCCAGAAACATTCATTCTTTATTGTTTGCCAGCCGGGAACCTCGCTGCTTTTTTTGAAAGATGTGATTTAAGAAGAAAGATATCAGACAAGGATTTCTTACTGTCAGTTTGCAGTAAGCCCATTTAACCACAGGAGAGCATCTGATTACAGGTTACAAATATCTGTATCCTGTTTTTCACTGTCAAAATACTTATTATTGACTAGCATGATGTCTGCCAAGTATGTTGATATAATTTTGCAAACAAAAGTGAGTACATATTTATATCTAAATGTGAAACTTTCTGAATAAAAATTAAAAAAATCCTATTACCTCATATAACAGATGATTACACTGTTGTATGTATGTACATATGTATGTATGCATTACCTCTGTGCTTTCTAAATGGAGACAGGAGGAAAACACTTTCTCTGAGATATCACTGTGGGCCACTAATGGTGTAGCCTACAACTGTGAACCATTTTCACCAGCAGTTTTCACATTGCCGTAACTTCTTTTACCTCATGAGCAAGTGTATGTGAACTCCAACTTCTGTTGTAGTTTACTTAACCTGTTAGTTTATTTATGCTGTTGGCTGTAAGCTCTCTTTCCAGTCTGCTGGAGGAGAGCTATCCTTTGATAGAAATTACACTTCGTATGGGTTGGGATGATTAGAAAGATGCTCTGATTTGTGCTATCTATAGTCAGAAGTCTGTTTCAGAGCAAGCAAGAATCTTCCTTGCCACTTGTCTGCAGGACTTCCGCTGAGCTGCAGAAGTGTCAAACCACCGGTTGCACATCTTACCGTATCCTGTGTGACCGTAGCTGAGTTGCCCTGGTTACTTCCCTTCCCCCCAGGTATTTTTTACAGAGGACTTTAAACAGCATTTTCCAGCAGCCTGATTTTGCAGTGAAGGCAGTAACATCCTCTCGACAAGCAGCACAGCTAGAAGCACCTTTATATGGCTATTTAGCACTTGCACAGGGTGAAACAAGTGTTTCCGTTGTGGCTGACACATAAGAGAGCAAGAGTAAGTTGCTTTTCTTGACTTAACCATGCTCAGACTCTCTTTTTGTAAGTGGTGCCCAAAAACCCACAGCAGATATTCATGTGAACTGTGCTGCTGAAGTTGGCAATACTGCAACAGAAATACGATTTATCCTACAGGAAGCTGTCACATATATTGCATATACACAGTGCTGTTCATCTGCCAAGATTTGGCGCTCAATCTAGATATATGGAAATCTTTAAGCCGTGCTTTTGCATGGTAATTTAAAAGTGCTTTGATATTGGTACAATTGTAACATGATTCCGAAGTTTAATTCCAGGCAGGAATCTCGAATCTAGCAGTTCACTACAGTACTTCTATTCTGGGATTAATAATGTAGATACTCATGTGTATGAGCATATATTTATGCATATATATGAATCTGACCATTGCTTTTCATCTACCCTTATGATTTAAAAGCTGCTTATTTGCAGCTATGTTTTTTTCTGTTTTTGAGCTTTTGCATCAGGGCTCTGTATGTTGTTGTAGAAGGACGAATATGTAATGAAGTCAAATTCTCAGAATACTTTATTTAGATTTGTGCAGCCACAGACTTTGATGTTTTGAAGTCACTGACCCAGTTTTTTACAGGGGGCTGCTCTAAAGCAAACACAGCCCATGGTAAGGAATGCCTTTTAGCTAACGCTGGGCTGCAGTGAAGCTGGAGCTAATGACAATGGCATTCCTTTCCAGCATAGTGCCTACAGGAATGAGTTTTTCATTTTTCAAGACAGTATTGTCAGAGAGCACACAGATCTTGCAAGGTATCTCAGGACTTTTGCTGCTTTGTGGTTTCAGAGGCTAGGTTTAACAAAACCTGCATGTTATTTGATCTTTTGGAGTTAGGTTTTGGAAGAGTTGTGCAAATGCTAACCATTGTATGTGGCTGCAGGGATTGAGGAATAAACCTAGGGGTTCAAAAAGGTGAAAAAGCGGTTGAACAAAATGTTTTATATAATTAAAACACAAATACCAACACTGGAGAAAGGACTGAAGCCACAACATGCAGAAAACTGTAGCAGTTGCCCTAACATCACAAGTACTCCTGGGAGTGATTTGACGTTGTGGTTCTACTGAAAAAAATACGTATATCCTGTAGAGCATTCTTGTATTGCCGAGAGGTGAGCACACACACAGGCACACACACACCAGCCTTGCACTGAATCCGAGCCGGCTGCATTCTCCCTCCTGCTTCAGCCACAGAATTGTTTCCAGTTTAAAATCAGTGAAATTCCATTCATGCACAGGGGTAATAGAAGTTATGGTTCCAATAAAGTAGAATTCGTTCTTCAGAACCTTTGATAGGGATAAGGACACATACACAAAAGGGTATATAAAGATACCCTCTGAATCTCAAGTTGAACTTTTACAGAATAAGTTACTTTTCCAAATGGGACTGTTTTTCAAAAGCAAACGCAAACCTGGAATGAGTCTCTCTTAATTTTTTTGTACTAATAAGCACAATATACCAGATAATCTTTCACTGGTAACTCACAGAACACAGATGATCCCTGCAGCTGTGTTTCCTTGGAATAGTTACTCATCAGAGCATCCATGTATGTGCTTACATGTAAGCAATACAGGTTCTCACTGCTAGGAACGTGAGTGAGATCCTGGCATGGAGACATTCACTGTGGTTCCATGCACCTTTCCAGGTTGGAGAGGACTCCCGTCATTCAGGACCACCGGTTTTACCAAGACCATCCAGTACGTTTAATACCGTCAGCAGAGCTCAGTACCAGGACATGGTTCCAGTGGGTACGTCAGCATTTGGGCTGCTTGCAGAGAAGTACTTGGTCAATGAATTTGTCCTGTCAGTGTATGTCGTTGGGGTGTTCAGTTGCTTGGGGTGGGTGGAAGTTACCATTTTTCAAACTAATTCTGTCTGTCAGCATTTCCTTATTGCACAATTGCAACCTGCAGGAAAGATATTGAAAAGCTTCTGTGCAGAATCGAATAACCGAGGTAAAAATTCTCCCTGTACTGAGTGTCCTAATTTACCTGATGAAAGAGTTGACAAAAAGTTGAAGGCATTGACTCAAGTTCTGTCCTAATCGAACTCCATATATTCCCAGTACAGCTCTGGCAGGATCACAGAAAGTGTTAATCAGCTTGGAATTAGTCCGTAGCTTAAATTCTGCTCTCAGTTACATGCACAAAACTTACTGACTTCTGTGCCACTGAGAACAGAATTCAGCTTCCAGAATCTAACAGCTGTCACATTGTGCAGAATCAAGATAATGAATCTGACTATAACTGCTTCTTTGTTCTGCGCTGTGTTTACTTGAAAATTGCTGCTAATTTAAATCCTTACCCTTTCCATGGACATGGTGAGCACTGGCTGCAGGCTCAGTAGTTGCTAAGTATTGGAACAGAGGTGTTTTCAGTTATTGCTTCGTGGTTGACGCTGCAGTGGACACCAATGCTGACTGAGTCACAGAATCACTTTAGAAAAAGGAATACACACATAAGAAAACATATTCAAAAAAGTGACAATATGTAAAAATTAGGACACTTCTATTAGGACACACTAATTTGATTTTTTTTTTCACTAATTCTGACCATAGCCCTAATCTGATTTTTTTTGAAGCTTCATGAATGGCTTTTGCCTACTTTATTATGGTAGCTGTTGGCTTTGATGCCCCTGAAACATTTCAAAATATAAGTTGACTCTCTGTCAACAGTGAAAATGTTTGTATCATCAGAGATACGTTCAGCTGCCTGAATGGTGTTCGTTAAAATAAATGCCTAGGATAAGGAGAGTCGCATATTGTGTTTTAGAGGCACATTAACATTATTAAAAAGTAAGTATAGATGTAATTGAACAGGGAAACTATATTGCACTCTAGTACCAGGAATATGTTTTTTTTTTCCCCCGTATAATATAATTTGACAATGAATTTTAACAGCAAACAGTGAAATCTTTAATCGTTTCTGCAAAGTTGCAAAGAAGAAAAGGAGTAACATTAATTAAGTTTGGAATATTTCTTAAACACATGAATAACGTGAGCTTTACCACAAAGCTGACGTAACTGGCCTGAATACACATCCTGTCAAAGTGTCAGAAAGCCACATCCTCCCTGGCAGCTGAATTTACGGTAAGCAGGAAAGCCTGTATGGTTTAAAGGTGGCGCCTGTGTGTACAGCCATGCGTTTGAGTGCACTGCCTTTTTGAAGTTCAGTGAGAGCAGAACCAAAAGTCGTCACTCCTCAGAGGAGGAGATTAAAAATATTCACGTATTTACCCTATGTACAGCATGTAAGAACTTTATAATGTCTAAGTATATGGTCATCTTGTAGGCTTGTCTAGCTCTGTGAGTCTAAAATATCACACAGATGATGAGATGAATGACACTGAAATCATCGATCTATAAATTAGGTGGCTAATGGCAAATCTCCTTCTGTGGAGATCTTCCAAACCCGCTTGGACGCAGTCCTGTGCCACGTGCTCTAGGTGACCCTGCGTGTGCAGGGGGGTTGGACTAGATGACCTCTAGATGTCCCTGCCAACCTTAAGCATTCTATGATTCTATGATTCTATGAATGTGGTCTCCCACTAGCGCATCCAAACAGACACCTCCAGAGTGCAGTTCATCAGTTTAAAGCCAGTCACTCATGTGGGATGACTCTTCCCTCTGGTAGGGTTTATGGAGTGAGACCACATGGGCTGGAAGGGGAGGCTAAAGGTGTGAAAGAACCGTGTCAAACCCATCCCCATGAAGCAAGGTGTAGGACTCCCCACGGGTGCTGTGATGGAGGGTAATGCAGAGGAAGCCATGTTGCTCACAAGTCTCGTGCCACTTTGCATGGGTGTTTTATGACTGATTGTGGTAAATTGCTCAGAGTTTTATTCTAGGAATAGGTCCTCGGGGTTTTATTCTAGGAATTAATAGCCTAGTTTGACTTTAGCTGAGAGAATATGAGTGATGAGATACTATCTAAATTCCTAACAAAAGTGGCATAGTGGGAAAGGTGGGTCATAATCAGATTTGGTTCCTATCACAAAGCAGGACCCCCAAATGATAGCACGATCAGTGTCCTTAGATGAAAAACTGCATGAACCCAGTACTGCTACATTCAAGAAGTTTGTGAAGACGAAGTGTGCTGTTGTTATTGTTCAGAATTCAGAAGAAATGCAATCTTGTTCTCTACATCCTGGTTTTAGATGATATTTTTGTTGATATTTTCAGCTTACAATGACAAGATCGTTGCATTTTTGCGACAGCCCAATATCTTTGAAATTCTACAAGAGCGTCAACCAGACCTTACCAGGAATCATTCACTCAGGTAATAAAACCTTATTTAGAGTCTAACTAGAAGTAGAGTCTCCTGCTAAAGTTAGGAGTTGGGAGTAAAACACAGCAGATCTAGAAGTTTGGCCAGTGAGAAACAAACGTTTCGTAAAGTTGTGGGAAATAGTTCTTTACTGTATTTCTGTACAACTCCCTGAAATAAGACTTAGGAGAACAGAAGCACTGTCTTACTACAAAATGAAGGTACATACAAGACAAAGTTTTCAACAACTGGTATAAGAGATTTGCTGATGTCTTCAAAATGTGCCAAGACAGCTGGATGGCAAAGCAAATGTGCCAAAATGTGAGAGCGTTCAGCTGGGAGTGTGAGGCAGGCAGATACCTGGCTTGGTAGATTTGGTTTTCCTCTAAATGCATATTGACAGAAGGCCTATTCTGACCTAACGACCTCAGAGGTAAGCTTCATTAGCCCTGTCTGTCAGCGTTTTTAATGTTCCCCCCTATTTTAAGCAGTTATGTATAGTGTTTTCATGGTCCAATGACATATCTTGGTGAGACCTGGTGAAGGATGATCTCTGCTGGTTTCATACAATGCTTCTAATTCACCAGCACAGATAGAATTCCCCAGACTGAACAGACTGAACAGCAAGCTCCCAAGGTGGATGCTTGACTTTCAGTCCCTGTCTTGTTAGAGAAATGCCGAGGTCCAGACCCTGCCGCCGCAGCGGGCAGCGTGTGAGGGCTCTAGGAACAGCCTGGCCACGGCCCTGTTCTCCCACAGACCTGCCCTCTGGCTCGTGCCAGTCCCCAGGGCATCTGCGTTAGGCCTGTTTGCTGGAGAAGGCCCTTAGTGCAGGGTTCATCTGTTCAGATTTTAGCAAGAGAGGCCAAGAAGTTTGTTTTGATCCTTTTGGTGAACCCGCTGTGCATGAAGTGATGTAGCTCACATTGCAGTATAGGGGATGCGGCGCTCTTGGCTTCTGCACGGTTAAAATGCTGATTGCCAGGATCATTTTATCCTCCCAGTCACAGTTGCTTGTAGGACAGTGGGATAGATGGACCTCTGAGCTGAGCCAGTGCTGCTGCTCTTGTGTTACAGGGCATTTCTCTTCTCTTTGTTTAGGAGAAGCTTCCCGTAGAATTCACGCACTTTTTACCACCCTATTTATTTATTTATTGTGTCCGTCAGTGCATTATTTGGAAAAGATGGGTTTTTTTGTTTGCACGTTTTGGCTCCCGCAGGGAGAAGATCCAGTTCATCCGGACAGAGGGAACCCCTGGGCTGGTGCGTCTGTCCGGCGACGCCGACCTCGTCATGCTGCTCAGGTGGGCACTGCGGCTGCGCCGGTCTGCGGGACGGCGCGTGCGGTGCCGAGGCTTCGCCACCTGCTCCCTTCCCCTCCAATCCTCCATATTTCTGACGGTTTTCATGCTGAGTTTCGACATGGTAGTTGCTAGCGTGGAGGTCACATTTTTTTCTCACAGCAGTGATGAAAGATTTGCCCTCTGTGGAGGGGAGAGGCTAAGGGTGCTGTGCCTCTTTCACAGGTTTCATTCAGGCATCAAAATCAAATAATCAGGGAGATTTTTTTTGCCAGATTTAAAGCTTTATATCCTCATGTTGTATTCTCATTCGTTGTAAAAGTACGTCTGGAAATTCATAACTATATTTAATACTAAATCTAGTGTAATAGGATTGGCATTAGCAGTATTTAGATGTCAGGTCGCATAATCACAATCCTCTCAAGCCCTTAAATCCCTGAACTAGTTAAAGATACAGCATCTCATTTTAAAGCTATGTTGAAACTATTTTTAAGTGAGAATATAGATTTTTTTTTAATTTAGATATAGATTTTCTTAAAATGAAGGTTGCAGGAATTATTTTGTTATTGCTGCATGACAGAGTTCCAGCGTGTTTGCTGTTCTGACAACAGCAAAGGCTGCAACAAAATCTTATAGTGAAAATACAAGAAATTCAACATTTTAATTACAATCTTTCTTTTATAGAAAAGCTATAATCAGAATGAGAAAATTAAGGATAACCAGTACCTCCCCAAAATGACTTCACTGCATTTTTCAGATTTTAGTTCTCTTAATCTACTGATCGTTTTATCCAAAAATATCTAATTGAAAAGCACCCTCTCCCCAGGATTCGTTCCTCTCTTTTAGTAACAACTGAAGTTGACACTGGAACCTAAGAAACACTGAAGTACCATTTTCCCCAAGATATATTACTTGATATGTGCATCTCTTGGTTTCTTAAATGGTTAGATTTTGTGCTTCAGAATTGGAGTAAATTATTGCAAGTTTATTGTTGTTATGTGTTTATTTTGAGGGTAGATACTTGTGTAAAAGGAAAGCTGAGCTGTGTTAACATAGCAGGGCAGTGAGATATGCTGGAATTTCTCTTCATACTGATTTTCTAATATATACAGATCCTCTGTATATGAATGCAATAAACAGGCTGCAAAAAGGTTTATTATTTTTCTTTTAAAAGTTGTGTCACCCAGAGGGCAATAATAGGTGAGGCAAAGAATAGCCCGAGCAGACTATATGCAATACCAGTTTTAGCAAGTGTTAGCTGTAAAGTTAAACAAGGAAATAACCTGTTATGCCAGCAAGCTTTGCTTTTAAATATGCTCAACAAGTTCAAATATGATTCTTCCTCCTAGAGCCTTAGAATATTTGTCACAGTTCCTGATCTTTGTACAGCGTTACGGATCGTTTTGCAGGAAAGTGTGACTGAGGTTATTGACCCCTTTGTAATGAGAATGCAAGTGGAAAAAAGTAATTTTAAAAAGCCAATTAACTATATTTTAATCTTGAAAATATACACTGCACTATTAAAGTGGTGCCACACAGAAGTAGTAATAATTGCTTTCTAGTAATTTTCCAAGATTGAGGGAAAGATGATAAAATATTTTCTAGCACCCTAGGTGTATACAAGGAAATAGATGCGTGGCTGCCAAAGAAACCAGGTTAGTTTTGAGGCCGTAACCAGCGAGCAGTTCCATTCATTCAGATAAGCATGTGATTTTGTCTCTCTTGGCTCTTCCCCAGCTTGTTTGAAGAGGAGATAATGTCATATGTGCCGCCACATGCCTTACTTCATCCCAGTTATTGCCAGTCCCCGAGAGGCTCGCCGGTGTCTTCACCTCAGAACTCTCCAGGTAGGTTGCTTAGGCAGAGGCTGCAAGAAACCATTTCTCATCCCGGTAAGGGCCCGTTCCCATGTCAGGGAATCTGCTTACACGTCGCTATTGCCATCCCAGAAGTTGGAGAAAAAAAACAGTAGAAGAAGAATTCGACTATAACTTATTGTTTGCTTTTTCAATTTAATTTTCTGGCAGCCTGAAGCTGAGATCCTGCCATGCCGGCAGCGATAACCTGTTTTTCTTTGCAGCTCCCACCTTCTGGGTGGCTGAAGATGACCTGAACCTCCTTCTCAGTGGCCAGTGTCTTAGTAATTGCTGTCATTCTCTACCATACTACTTTCATTATGAGAATACCTCTAAAATTTTGCAGCAGTGCAAGTCCCATGATCTAGTTTACATTATGCTGCATGAAATTACTTCCCACTTCACTTTATGAAGATCTAAGTTCTGTTACTGCAGCAACAGCAAAGGTCTGTTTCTATTTGAGCAAAGCCAACCACTGTGTTTGAATTTGACTGTCAAACTTAAACCTTTGCCTTGGGCTGACAAGGTGTTTTGCCAGTGGAAAGATAAGTATTTTTTTCCAACATCAGAGTTTGTGATTTTGTTCTGACTTGTAAAACGTGCAAACTGGTTTTTCAGAGATGTGAAACAATCGAGTACTCTTGCCAGTATCCTGATGCCGTGAGAATTAAATTATGAGAGCTAATAACTGTGCATTAAAATGCCACACTGGGGTTGTGGCACAATGAGTCATAACAACCTTACGTGGAGTTGAATTGTTGTCCCTTAACCTAGGTTAAAAAAATGCTATATTGCAGCTCTCTGGCTGCACAAAACAGAAAGGAATTGAGTTGTGCAAAACACTGCACAAAACATTGTAGAGCACATTCAACTGTTAACTGTGTTGCTGATTAGAACTAAATTATTTCAGATATGACAAGTTTCGTTTGATCTCTGAAGGCAAAGTAGAGCAATTTGAAGTTTATAGATGTCACTATTCTTAGTTTGCTCAAGAAGATAATGATAGATATGTAAAATAAAATCCCTACAGTAAATCAGAAATGGCTTAAGGGGATTTCCACGAATTAGAGAGCAAAAATATAGGTAAGTAAACAATCTTTGGAGTGTAACCAACTCTAGAAGTTCCCAGAAAATAAGGAGATTTTTATTAGAGATATTGTGATTTTTATGGTCTGTTTTTCCATCCAGAGATCTCAAGACAAAAAGCCATGCATTTTCAAGAAAAGCCAGATTAAAAACATACATTAAGCACGTCCTAAGCAGTATCTTGTCCTAGTGCACTTCTGCAGCACCTATTCAGAGAATCCATCCTAAGATCTTAATGATCTTATGGCTGCTGAGAAGCAGCAAAATATATTCATGTGTTACACTGGTGTTTTGGATACATTTATGGTGCATGTATAATCATTTTCCTTCATTAAAAAGAAAGGATGAACATCTGCATATGTGCACCTCATTTTCAACTGCAAACCTGTCAATCTTTTATGAGTAAAAACAATCTTGTCTTTCAGAGTTGGCATTTTGTTATTAGTGCATTCACCCAGACTGGCAGGGCCTCAGTCCAACAAAATAATTTAAAAATATTTTTAATCTTTAGCATATGATCTCCTCATCTAGTCCTCAAAGTAGTAAGGGTTGAGCTGTGATGGCCTGTTTTCCTAAAATTGTCATCTTTGTTCTACCACATAGAAGATACAGAGAGCAGTCAGTTGGCCTGTTTGTGAGCCTGCGTGTTTGTATTGGTATGCAAATAAAGTCCTAACACTTTTTGATCAGAATATAAACTGACCAGGATTTCTGTGGTTTTTTTCTCTAGTTTTTCTCTAGTTTGTTTGTGTGTTTTCATCTGCTAAACGGGCAGTGCTGCACTGCAAGAGGCTGCATGTTGAGGAGAGTGTAGACGAGTCACCACCGGTTGTACTTTCTCTTTTGGAAAAGGCAGATTGTCATGAAGCTCTTCTTTACATCTATTTTATAAAACAATCTGTTTGAGGATCTCATCTGGTTATCACATCACTTTGTAGCCTTTCCACTAACATCTTTTGTTCCCAAGGCAGAAATAATCGCTATAATTGGCCAGGAATTTCTTGGCAGATGTATCTGATTTGCAAAGAGAACTTGTCATGTGCTGACAGGGTATTATATTGCAGAGTATTATACTGGTGATTTCTGAATCATGAAGTAATGTGTTACCAGAGGGATCTTCTTAGGGTAGCTCTTAGCAAAAACTCCCTCCAGGGGTTAGATGGAAATAAGCTTTTCCTGCGTTCTTTGGGGACTACGTTTTTGTACCTCCTTTGACCCAAAGCAGAATAAACAAAGTAGGGAGAAAGGACCGATAATTAAAAGGCTGTTTACAGTTTGGGACTGCTGTGTTTCTGGAGCGCTCGCACACGTGTGCAATCAGAAGCCTTGGAGCTGTCAGCAAAACGCGATAACCGCGCTGGGTTCGTCGATGGCTGCGGTTCCTTCTCCCAGAGGGGTTCTGCACATTCCTCTCGGAGCCAGGAGGCTTTTCTGACACTTTGCATTCCTCCCACACACCAGTACTGTAGACCTAAAGCAAGTGGCAACTCCTTTCTTGTCAGACAGGTCTTTTAGAGCCCAGCAGATGATGTTCCGTGTTAATTCTGATCTCGTTCTTCCTTCTCTCTCCAGGCCCTGCAGCTTCTTCCGAGAGCTGCTCGCTGCATACTCACAGGGCCAGACCCACGTACTTTGTGGTTAGACAAGCTGCCTTCCCTTCCCCTGCTCTTTTTCTGCAGGCTCTATGGGTGCACTCTTCCTCTCATCTGTAACCTGCAGCATTACAATCTCTTCTCTTCACCCCTACTAGTAGCACATCTTTCTGTATGGCTTCTTTTTTAGAGGGAGCCGAAAGAAAAGCAGTGCAAGGAGCTGGCTATCATTTAAGAGACACAAGTCCCCATACACATGCTTGGGAATTGTTGGTTTGTGTTCGCTGTGCACTACGGGCCCCTTCAGTGATCCCTCCTTGCTAATGAGGAGTTAGCAACCTCTGCACACTGCAAGGCATGAGAAATGGTCACGTCCTCGGTGTTTTTTGTGAGAAGTCTGCACACCAGTGCAAGGGAAGAATCACCTCATGTTATAAAACGTAGGGGTGAGAAGATGAAAGTAGAAACGCTAGGGTAAACTGCCTCTTGGCCCACTTCCTTGCAATTACAATCAGTTGAAGTGATTTCCCTATGGAGGCAATGGAAATTCTAGTGTTTGTGATATGCAAAATAGATCAGACTGAAACACCTGATTTGCATCTACTAAACTTACACAGAAGAAACAGAGGAAGGGCTATGTGTATTTTTTGGCATATAAATCTGTCCCTGCTTTTAGGAAACTGGTCCTCAAAATCAATTTCCATTCTTGCAATATTATTCTTCCTTGTTCCCCAAGGAAAAAATCCCTAATGGGAACTTTCCACTTACGTATAAAAGTTTTCATTCTTCTTGCTTTTTTTTTTTCCCTTTCTTTTCAGTTTTGCAGCATTTTCATTATTCAACCTGACATACTCAACAGGACCACATTACAGAGCAGAGGACAGTCTCTTTATATTTTTTATTGCTTTTTCTCTTAATAATTTTAATATAATAATAGAGGGGAGCATTTATTTAATGAGCATGAGCTATCTTAAAGTTTAGACATATATACATTTAACAAACATAAGTTTTTCCAGTTGATCCCCGTGTTACTTTTTAATCAAACTTTCGCATCCATCTAGAATCTGGAGGTTTTTTAAACTATATAAACATAATACCATTTAAAATCAGCAAGCAGAGTCTTGAATGTGGAGCAGGCTTGAAGGTATGCAGCCTTTACTAGTTTGTAAATCTGGTTTCCAGTGAAATCAAACATACCCAGTGCTGTTCGCTCTGAAAGAGTCTCTTTGGTAGGAAATGGGATGTTATCAGCTCATGTCCTCGTAGCTCATTCTTTGCCTTTGGTTCCTGCAGGTACTCAGCGTGCCAATGCCCGGGCTCCAGCTCCTTACAAAAGAGATTTTGAAGCCAAGTTGAGGAACTTTTATAGGAAGTTGGAGACTAAAGGATATGGACAAGGCCCAGGGAAATTGAAGTACGTTGACAAATCTCATGAACCATCTCGTTGTTTCTCCAGCAACCTGTTTGGCTTTGCACATCTACAAGCTTGTTCCCACCAGGAGGAACACAGATATGTCACGGTTACCCTCACACTTTTGAAATGAAATATTAACCCTGTTGTAAAAGATACAGCACTGGCATGCAATGCAGAGGATACCAGTTCTGAGCACTGCTTTTCCATACTACTTCCAAATATTTTTGTCCAGGCAATATTGCTAATGCAGTGACAAAAAGAGCTGTGGGAAAGGGCATGCTGGCAGAGTCTCTTGTTTACGGAACAGTACACATTTGAACTCCTGCAATACAGGAATCACTATGAGATAAATAGTTACATTTTCTTTTGTCTTTTCTATTCAGAAAATCAGATGTGCTTTTTTTTTTTTTTCATCTTTGCCTGTTTTAAGACCGTAGTTCTCCAGAGCAAAGAGGACTTGTAGAATTTCAGCTGTCCGAATGCTTCTTTGTATGAGTCATTTTATTGAGGTTTAATATGGACCTGTGAAGGACAGAAGTAAAACCAAACAGAAGCTACTCAATCTGTATTAAATCAGCAAAAAATATGTATCAGTGCTCTAGTAAGAGTTACCCCATTGCATTTAGCAATGTAAACAGATGTTTCCAACTGTGTTTCACATTAATGAATTGCTGTTTCAAAATTATTTTGATCTTTAGATTAATCATCAGAAGAGACCACTTGCTGGAAGATGCCTTTAACCAGATTATGGGTTACTCAAGAAAAGACCTGCAGAGAAATAAGCTCTATGTCACATTTGTTGGGGAAGAAGGGTGAGTAGAAGAGGGAAGTAGATGTGAATTCAGGACTCAGTATGTCTTGCAGCTGTGCTGTTTCACCAAATTTTTTGTGGTCTAGGGTGAAAAGAGGAAGGATTGTGGTCAGGAAATGCCATATACATCAGCCTAGAACATACAGCTGTTCAAGTCAGGCCTTGTGAAACATAAGGCATCCTGCCTTTGCAGAAGCTGTCCCTCTTGTTTATGTCAATTTTCGCAATAGTCGCCGTGTTTCAGAACATTGCTGGGAATGCCAAAGCAAAAGCAAGCAGAACTTTGTCCTGTCATTCACGTTGCTTTTCTCTCAGCACTGGCAATATATCCCCAGGGCTTTTTACCAGACAGCTGGTGCCTCCAGAGTGGGCTAAAGGCTCAGTCCTTCGTTCAGCTCCTACCTAAGGCAAAAGGGTCTCCTGCTACGAGATGCTCGTCGTGTCTCTAAGCCAGGGCAAGCAACTAACCTGCTGCTGTTTGTCAAGTAAACCCACATAGTCCTCACATTTCAGAGGCATTTCAGAGAATGCTCTGCCTATGCTTGATGCAAGCCTACGATGATCCAGGCTGTGTAATTTGTGTTACAAGGCCAGATGTGGTTAGATTTTCCATTGTGTAGATTGTGTTACTGTCTGCCTCTCTCAGCTTTTCTGTTTTGGGTCCCTTTACCAGCTCTTAAAGCCTGTTGCCTTAGTCATTAAGTTTTTTATGGATACACATGCATGTGTTTGTAAATACCTTCGAAATGTTGTTCTTTGGTATTTGAGGAAACTGCAGCACACAGCTCTTGCAGTGCTGTAGTGTGTGTTAGTGCTGATGTGTTTGTAAATACCTTCGAAATGTTATGAATGTGATATGAGTCTTTAAAATAGCTAAACTGTAGTAAAAGCATCTCATACAAGATTAGGTAAGTGTAAGATTAACCTGTCTCTGAAAAAAAAAGCCCTAAATACTCTTCATTTGTGTAAAGCTCCCCCTGAAATCCGTAGTATTAACAAGAACTCACTGAAGGTTTAAAATAAAAGAGTTGACAGCTGAGCGTGGAGTGTGGGTTCGTTCCTGTAAATAATATCACTGCACGGAGGAGAGACGCAGGACGGGAGGGACGGGGCCGGCACCGACAGAGCAGCCTGGGGATGCAGCCCCTATGGAAGGGTTTGAATCGTGCCGGGCGTCACTAGGAAGCAGAGGAAGGGAGGCCAGCGTGGAGGAGAGGAGCAGGAGGAATGCTGAAAACAAACTGTCCCGTTTGCTTCTCCTTTTCCTTTTCGAAAGCAGCTGATCAGGAATCCGCTGTTACGTTTCTTTTCCTCTTGGTGAAGAGGCACAAGTCTTAAAGTAATGGGTGATGAAATCCTCCCAGATCCAACTGTTCTGAGTAACTTTAGATTTATTAGGGTAAGTTAGACATAGTTGTTGCCCTTCATATAATTTTGATCATAAATCTCTTAATGTTCAGTGTCATCCTTTAAGCTTCAATTTCAACAGCCTGTGATACTATTTTTATATATATACATATATATTTTACATTCATAATACAGATAGAAAAAGGGAAAAATGATATAAAAAACATGATTCCTTAAGTTATACTCCCTAAGTTGTATTAATTTTAAGCACAGGTTTAAAAAACTTTTTTCATAACTAGTGGAGATGGTAATAAAAGGTATTTTCTGGATTGGATTTACTTTGAATGATAAAACTAATCTGTTCACTTTCCATGGTTTTAAATGCTCCTGCTGTGTGTAGTATATAATTCTCTTAATTTTGGTTGTCTGCATGTGAAAACCCTTGTTTCTTAGCCCTCTAGGCCTACTCAGATCCAGTGGTCTCCAATGTATGAATGTTTCATGGCATCTAAAAATGCTGGATGAAATTTTCACCTCTGTCATGATAATTGCCTCGCAGAAAGGAGCCCTAAAATTCAGGAAGGGTATCCCTCGTGAAGGCAATCTTGAAGATGTTTTCACAAGTCCAGATGTACAGGAGCTACTAGGGCCACATATCATACACCACAAAGGTTCAAAGGAGTGAGTCCTACAAATGAGTCCAAATGAGTCTGGGGAACCAGGCTTCATTTTGGCTCAAGCAGCCTCTCCAATCATTACAGCAGGCCATAAAGATGGCTTAAATAATTTTGGGGCTCTTTGTTTCCCTGACAGGTGTAGTTCAAAAATATCACTGGTATTTCAAATCTTAGATATATATTTCTTTATGAAATAAGTGATTTTTTTTTAACATGGGACTGCCTCACACATTAGTATGAATGTCCTGTATCTTCTCAAGGTGTCTCAGAAAAATAACAAATTGCACCACAGGAGTCTTGTGCAATCTGCTTTTCCTGACAGAGGATGCCGCCCGTTTAAGAGTGGCAAAGCTGAAGTATCCTGCAGGGAAGTATTCTCCTGCTGATTCCCAGGAGACAAGACTCACGTTGCCAACAACAACTTACCCTATTCCTGAATACCCAGATGCCCCCCGCTTGCAGCTGTCGTGTGGTTACATACCTCTTGTATGAAGTTTTCTCCTCGTGTGCCAAGCTGTTAATTGTGGGATAAATCTGAGTGATGGGGCAGTGCTCACATGATTGATTTATTCAGCGTGACTCACAGCAATGCCATGTCCTAAGGGAGCTGTAGGAACTGGATGGTAGTCGAGTGCACCGTTTCCCTGCTGTGATTCAGAGTTCGTAGTGATTCTGACTATCCCAGGAGTTTGCGGGAATCGTTTCTTGATCCGGTGTTTGTGCCAAATTAAGATCTAACAGTTGCCTGTGATAGCAGGCTGTAACTTCATCCTGCAGTTTGAGGGTGGAATCTGCCCTTCTTGCCAGGGTGAGAATCTCTCAGGACTCCCTTCTGGAGCTTGGCAGAAGCCAAGAGCTTCCACGTGACTGAAGGGAAAGTCTTTTTCCTTCAGCAGGGGAGAGAGGCTCTGTCCTCAGCGTGATAAGGGCACCTAGCCCTTACCCTCCTCACAACTTCACCTTCACAAGCTGTTCCCACGTGTGGCTAACAAGCTTTAACAGCAGGCAGACAAAACAGGAATAGGAGCCCTGTGTGGAAGCTGACTTTCTGGCCTGTGTGCGTTGCCTTCGTTTTAAAGCAAGATCTTAAAAGTCAAGTAGGAGTTATTCAGCCTACAGAAGATGCTTTATATCTGTTATGATTTTAATAATTCCCGTACAGAAAGATCCCTCATTTTCTGCTTTCCACCTCTACCAAAGCGTTAACTTCAAACTGAATTGGTCTCACTGGCGACCCACAGTGTAATGGCAGAATTCAGGCTCAGTGCTCTGTCAGCAGTGACTTTGTTTATGATTCAGGAAAAAGGGTTTATTTAGATTCCTTGTCCATTAGTACTGGAATCTTGAAATAGAAAAACCCAAAGGAAATGCCTTCTCCAGAAGGTATTTAATTGCACTGAATAGACCAAGGAAGATTAAACACTGAGGTAATTTCAGATGATACTGTTAGGGAAAACACAAATATTACCCCTGCTGCAATGACAGGCTGTGAATGTTGTTCATCCTCATCCTTAATTTCTCAGATGCAGATAGGTCTAGCACTGGCTCTTTTCAGATTTCCTTTGCCTTACCAGAATTATGTGGTAGATTCCCATGGCAAAGGGACCATCGCAGATGGAGCAAAGTCTTTGAGGAAGGCCATCCGGGCAGCATTTTGCTCCAGTCCTCCAAGCATCTCCATTTCCAAAGGGCTCCACGAGGGCTTTGCATCCCTCGGCATTAAGCAGTCTGAAGGATCAGGGCTCTGGTTAAAATATTAAGGAAGTTTAATGTAAAATGTAACATAAGGAATGTAGATTCCCCACCATGTTTAACTGTATGCAGTAAACACTTCATAGTAACGTCACGTTTCTCTTTACAGGCTGGACTACAGTGGACCTTCAAGAGAGTTTTTTTTCCTAGTGTCTAGAGAGCTCTTCAACCCATACTATGGTTTGTTTGAGTATTCAGCCAACGATACCTACACAGTACAAATAAGTCCTATGTCTGCTTTTGTAGACAATCACCATGAGTGGTAAGAATTATTATTATTTTTTATTGTTTTTCAGATGTCTTTTCTGTTGTTCCCACTTGTGGAGAACAGCTCATATTTGCTCAGACGTGTACCACATAATTTGATCTTTTTAACCAGCAGCAGAATAAGTCATTTCTTTAGACTTTCTTCATTTTGTTTTCTCTTGTGGTCATTTTAAATGATCTTACTCCTCACAAGGTCAGCAAAACTGTGATTTGGAACATGTGTCATGGGATTATCTCACAACGCAACTCTGCATTTCTTGTGCATAGGGAAACAGTCATTTCATGAAAGTAATATTAACCCCTCATGCAAATTTAAAGAAGAAAATGTGAATGAAATATTGGCTTTTTGTCTCCCTTCATCTCCTAAGTTGCCTTTAAGGAAGCATCAATGTATATCATTTGTTCAGGACTTCCTAAAGGGTGTAGAGGTATCTACAAGGGAAAAAGCCCCCATCTACTAGAGGGGAATCTATCTTAATTGTGAGTAGAAAAAAGACTGCTGGTAACATAACTCTTGACCAAATATGTACACGTGCACAAATTTTTAGAATAGTCGGCGAGGATTCACAGAGAAAATGTGAAAAAAGGTTAATTTGAAATGCTTTAATATGTTTTTATGTAATACTATTTTCACAATTATCACCCAGTTTAAATCATTCTCAGATGATTTAAATCATCCTGATGGCATCTTCATAAGTCTGTGAAGTTTGTGCTTGTGAAGCTGTGCTGTGAGTAACAGCAGAGAATTCTGCCCGGGGGGTCGCTGGGTGGCAGGAGCAGTGGAATGGCAGCCGCTCCTCCCTGGAGGACAGGCAGGTGCTGGCTTCTCCACGGAAGCCAGAATGAGTAGCTGAGAGGAATCTCATTACTGCCTTGGAAAAGGAATGGAAAACTGGATGCCCGTTGCATCCCGTTCAGCGAGTTGAAGCAGCTTCCCCGCTCAGCCCCAGTGCTGCCCCAACGCACCTCCTCGTGCGTCGATCCCTGCACGCAGGCAGGAACAGCAAAGTCCTCGCCTGCCCAGGTAGTACGTCTGAACAGAACGTTTAAGAAACTCTGTTTTCTTTGAAAAGTGACACTAGGCTTGAATCTGGTTCCAGAGACGTGGAGGATTTTTCACCATGAGTCTTTATTGTCTTGGGAATACTTGCAGTGCTTCCATGGCAAGGCTACCATCTGACCCACCTGATCTCAAAGCTGTCTCTCAAACCTCCCTGTACTTCCAGCAAAATCAAGATATGGGAAGGAAGACGGAGGGGAGGAGATCATTTAGGTCATATAGACACAGGAGTGAGAGATGTAAGAAAGCTTCCAGCCATTGTTCATGACATGATATGTGGAAGCCCATAACAGTCAGAAGAGAGAGCAAGTCCCCTAAGCAGAAGAGAAAAAGAGCAACATCTTCAGGCTGCAAAAGATCCTCATCCTCTCAGTGGTATGAAAAGAAACTAGTCCAATGCAAGGAGTGTGCAGAAAATAGGCAGACACCGCCTATTGTTTTGGAAACTATGCTTTTATAAAGAACCTTGTCTGGTGGGGATAGAAGGGGTTAATATGGATTCGAGATTTCTGTAAAGTAGCAGCTCGGATAACTGAGGGATTTTCCACACCCTGCAGATTTGTTTTTTAACCGTGCCTTAGTAGAAATGTAAAAGAAACACAAGAAGAAACAAAATACCACAATTTGACACTGCTATCTGATTTGAAAATACTGTTTGGAAATGTATGTAAGTTTTGATGACAGAGCAGTGTACAAGCCACAAAGTTTCAGTACAGTGATTGTAACTCTTTCTCTTCTAGGTTCAGGTTTAGTGGTCGAATCCTTGGTCTTGCTCTGATACATCAGTATTTACTTGATGCCTTCTTTACACGGCCCTTTTATAAAGCTCTCCTCCGAATGTGAGTAGAAGTGTTCTGTCTCCTTCCTCCCCACCACCATTTTGAGTAGGGATCAACTACGAAGTTGTTCTCCTCCAGAAGACCAGTTATTCTATCATTTCATTTTGCTCCAGAACTTCTTTACAAGCTTTTTTTTTTTTTTTTTTTTTACTGCCTCTGGTGTTAGCCAGGTACCTAATAGCACAATATGTGTTGTTTCTGAGCCGTATCAAAACCTCATGACTTGTTTTAGCTACAGCATCAGCTTTCTTCTATAAAATCTTCTTTTTGAAGTTGTACAATGCTGTGGTTTTATGCCAGTTATTAATAGAGTTCTTATTCATATGTCTCCCAGTGACTCATAGGATCGGATATGAATCACTTGACATAGACCACAAGACGCACTCAGAGGTAGACTGATTTTTGGCAGTCTCCATTCTGAGGTGTTTTCCTTGGAGGTAGTTTAGACCGGATCTTTCGAACGGCTGTTGCTGTTCCGGGTGAAGCAGTGAGAACTGCACTTAGGCTGCAGGTCTCGACATGCAACGCGGTCACCTGAGAGTCACTGGGTGGCAGGGAGCTGCTTCACATCACAAGGTGGCACAGCTTGTCCTTGTGGTGTTTAATACTGCTGAAAACCCACGGGTTTAAAACTTATAGTAGTTGGCTCACAGGATGCATTTGTAAATGGACCGGTTAAGGGAAACATCACAGAAGGTTACAGGTATTTGCATGGTAAGGAGGCCATCTGAAGAGACTTTGCACAACAAAGAGACAAGAGAAGTGGCAGTGTAGGAACACAAGCAGTAAAGACAGCAGTTGCCCTTTATTAATACTTAACAGTTCATTTCTGATTTGAAATTGTTCTTAGCTAAATATTATAGATTTTCATAATTTCTGCTCAAATGAAAAAATACTGTGTGCATGGAGTATGGGACAAATTCAGAATAAGAAGCAGCATAAGCTTGAAAAAGCAGTGGATCTTTTAAATGAGCAAATTTGGGAGCTTAGTACAATAGCAAAACAACAGTCTGAGTTATGCAAGTGACTGCTATTTTTAGTAGGAAAACACGCAGAGGCTTGGAACAGTGTCTTTGCTCCTGATTTTTCGGTTAGCTGTCCTTATTCTGAGCGTGTTTTGCAGGCAGAAACTGTCAGAGCCCTGTTATTGAGTGCACGCTACTGCTGGCATTTATCCTTGTGTGTTTTCATCTGGTTTGTTAGACTCTGCGACCTGAGTGACCTGGAATACCTTGATGAGGAATTTCACCAGAGCCTGCAATGGATGAAGGACAATGATATACACGATATCCTGGATCTGACATTCACTGTGAATGAAGAAGTTTTTGGGCAGGTGTGCAAGATTCCTGCATTCATTTCCATTCCTCTTTATAATCTGCTGCTAGATAACTATTTATTTTGGCAGAAAAAGACTGTCATTCCCTAATGATTTTAACTGGCTTTAAAAAAAATCTCATATATGAAAACAATGTTGAAATCTTGGGAGGAATTATTATCTGTAACCGGTCAAACGTGTCTTTCTGGCTAAGAAGATTTTCTGGAGAGTATTCAAAATATGAAAAGTTTGGATTGCTTTGCTGATGGCAGTTTAATTACTGTGGAGTTAGCATTCAGACATACTATTACAACACCTAGATTAGCACCTACATTATTCTTTACATTTTGTGCTAAATATGGTCTTGTGCGAAAAAAGAATGTTCTCTCATTCCATATATTCCCATTTGTTTAAAGCTGACCTTGGTTAGTGCTATTAAAGAATTGCTTCAACTTAGACGTTTTAACTATTATAATTATTTTTTTTGTAATATTTTGTTGCCATCCTCTTCTAAGATCACAGAACGAGAGTTAAAGCCAGGAGGTGCCAACATCGCAGTCACTGAGAAGAACAAGAAGGAATATATAGAAAGAATGGTGAAATGGAGAATTGAGAGAGGGGTTGTGCAACAGACAGAAAGTCTAGTTCGTGGTTTCTATGAGGTAAACAAACAAACAAACAAAACAAAAAAAAACCCCAAAAGCTTAAATTTAGTATACTTGTGTGTCTCTTCAAAATATCTTTCTCCTCATATGCATTTCCCAAACATACTGTCCCCAAAAGCAGATTAATACGCAGCCAGAAGTGCCCCTGTACGTATCTGTATGTATGGAAATGCCACTGTTAATCACGAGCTTAAATACTGTGGTTATCTTTATAAAACCCTCGACAATATAGTGGATCATAACTTGTGTGCCCAACAGTGAATGCTGCAGAAGTGACCAAGGTCTGTCTTCTTTGGGCCTCTGAGATCCCCTGAGCACACAGTACATGCCAGGCTGAGCCTAACCCGAGTAGACTGTATTTCAAGGTATTGCTCTTGTATGTTTTGCTTTGGACAATGAAATTGAACGCAGTGATCTCAATCTGCCCTAGAATAGTTGAGTATTATTTGCTAATAAACTTTTTCTACCAAAAGTGAATGAATCTGAGTGAAACCTTGAACAAAACTTAATGGCCATACACCCTAATACAGGGTGGGAAAATTGTCCATTGATTTGCGTTTAAAAGATAATAATAAAAAACATCTTCTTATTCATGAGGCAAGCCAGTACGTTACCTGATAAATTTGTTCATAACAAACAAGCCTGTTTACAGGAGTACAAAAATCAATAATTGAAGAAATGCTAATGCACATTTTTTTCATTTTACAGGTCGTTGATGCCAGGCTCGTGTCCGTATTTGATGCCAGAGAACTGGAACTGGTCATAGCTGGAACAGCAGAAATAGACCTGAGTGACTGGAGAAATAACACAGAATATAGAGGAGGTAACATTATTTTTTAATTGCTCACTCACAGTGTAGAGGAATCTGGAATTACTGAAAATTAAAACCACTGATCCCATACTACAGATACAGATATGTTATACTTTCTTTTGTCTGGACAACGTAGAAAATGAACGAGGCCTCTTCACAGAGGGTGCTACACTCACTAGCACCCTGGCAGCCTGCAACTCAGACACTGGAGTCAAGTGGAAATAGCAATTATGCTTTACAGAATCTGCCTCTTCCTCTCTTAAGAAAAAGTAGAAGCAATCCCAGGTGACTGCAGCTTGGCCGTTGAGAACTGTGGAGAGCAATGGGAAGTGGAAACTATTTTGAGAGGTGTTTTGCAGCATCATTTGCAGCTTTAAATATTTCAATGATCTTTTTTACGCAGCTATGTATACACATATATTTTTGTGTAGTTATTCTTTACACACACATATACATATTCCAAGAATCGGCTCCTGTTCGGGATTGATTAATGAAAGAAATGCTTGCAAAAGGAATTTCTTTTTGTCACATTTCCTGCATTATTTGATTTTTTTTTTCCTCAGGAATAGTTTTCTCTCACTTTTTGTCTTTTGCTGCAACTGGATAAGAAATATGACATTAATAGCGTGACCAGGCCTGAGCTAGGAGAACTTATTAGTGTTCTCTCAAACATTTTCGTTGCCCTTAGAGGCATAAAGCCTATTGTTGTTTTAACAGGTTATCATGACAATCACATTGTAATTCGGTGGTTCTGGGCTGCTGTGGAAAGATTCAACAATGAACAACGACTAAGACTTTTACAGGTAAGAAACCAGCTGATCTATGTAGAAATATTGTGTCATTTAAATACTAAACTAGTTTCTGTCTAGGTTTATAACAACTCAAAATTATGTCAATGTTAGCTAGTAGAAATAGCTTGATAACCTTCAGAGGATTACTGTAATAATTTTAAGTGACTAAAACTCACAGCATATATTTTTATTATTTTATAACTTAAAAATACACCTGAGAATGAAGTACTTGATTGATTAAAAACATATTAAGGCTCGTAATGAGCCAGAAAAGGAAAACTGTTATTGTTTTTGCTGCTGAATAGAATTGGGGCCTGTTTTCCCTGAACCTGGAACTAAAGCAGCTTTTATTACTTGCCTTATTTGCCAGCGCCGTTCCTGCGCGGCGGCGCTGCGGTGGGCAGCCTGGTCTAACCGCGTTTCTCCCCGCGCCGCGGCGCTTGCGCGCGCAGTTCGTTACAGGCACGTCCAGCATCCCGTACGAGGGCTTCGCCTCCCTGCGGGGGAGCAACGGTCCGAGGAGGTTCTGCGTGGAGAAGTGGGGGAAGATCACGGCTCTGCCGAGGTACGACGGCGCGCGCCAATCGGAGCGGCGGTGCTATGGCTGGGGGTGCCTTAGCCTGTTAGCTCTGGGGATAAGCACTTTGGAAAACATCAAAAAGTTGTTGACGAATATGTGATGCCTTAGGAGATGATTTATTTCCCTATTGTTGCAGTGTGTGATATATCCATGTTTCTTTGTGCTCAGTTTTTCCTTTCATAGAGATGGACAAGGCACTGTAGTTGTAGTTGACATCTGGATTTTAATGTTGTTGTGTAAGTTAGAATATAATTTGCTGTGCTCTGCTTCAGCCAGGTAAGTCTGCTTTATAGTTTGATTCTGATTGACATATGGGCTAGCTGCGATTCAATTTTAAAAGAAGCAGCTTTTATTTTTAATTATTTACAACATCAACATTTGAATTCTAATTTAAGTGTACGTAACAAAAGAGACTGCGGAAGTCTTCCCCTACACTCTCTAATACTGAACTCTCTGCTTGCAATAGCAGGTACAGCTTGCAGAATAGAAAAGGTCAGTTCATGCCTGAAAATGATGCTCAGAATTTCCCCTGGAAGGTTATGAGAGCCCTGCCTGTAAGGTCAAACTGCTCCCTGTGGAGCACAGTGCAGGAAGGTGCTGAGAACCTGCACGGCTGCAGGGTGCTCAGCGGGCGCGGGGAAACGCCAGCTCTTCCCCTTTATTCCTAGGGAATGTGTCGTGCCTTGAGAGTTTAATTTATGATTCCCTCGTTTAGAAAACGTTACATTTTGTTTCTGTAGGTTTTGTTTTGTTCTTGATGTATTTTATGAATATGAGAATTAAAAGAAACAAGACTACACTTTAAAAAAAAAAAAAAACCCACCGTCTATGACAAACGCGTGGGGTTGCCACGAGCTGGCAGTTGTTGCCATCCATACAAGGAGCCTTGCTCTCACAGAAAATAAATGACCTAAAAAGATCTGTTACTTGGAGTTTAGTTTAGCTACTACTGTCCTTGGTGCCACTTTTACTCCCCTTTTTCCTCATCACTTTGTACATTACACTAACTCAATAGGCAAACTGTAATTCATGCAATTTATTTACAGGTTGAGAGGTTAGTTATGTTCCAGGTAGCTTTTATCGCTGCGTATTTTATAGGAACTGATTTAAAAACATATGAACATGCACATGCAAATAATATTTTTGTCATATGGCTGGGCTTTCACCCATTTCACTGCTGTAATGCTGTTCAGGTTATAATGAATTGGAGATCTACTGGAATTCCAGTCTATAGGAACCAGTTTTCTGTGTGTGTTGACATATAATGTGAGTAGAGGAGGATGAACAGCTAGCGTCCACGTGATCTGAAATGTTGAAACGTTGGGAAAATGCTTTTCAGAGAAAAATCTTTCTTACTGAAGATTGACACTGCTGCCAGCTAGGGTGAGAAAAGCATATATTTCTTCAGTAGACCAAAATCTTAACTTTTTGTCTTTTTTTAATAGCTTGGTTTTCTGAAGTAGGTGATTGCATTTTCAAACTTACCTTGCAAATTCAGATAAAACTCAATTACCACTTCCATAATAAAAGCAAGCAAGGTACCTTATTAGTATGAAACCAGTTTGTAATGAATCCCCCTCTCATTATATACCGTGTTTTTTAAAACCTGTGGTTTCACAGCCCACGCAGCACGACCCGAGCTCTGACGAGGGGCTGTGAGTGCCACGCGGCATGTGGTTGCGCTGCTCGTTGCCTCAGACTCCTCTGTGGTCTGCACGGAGCTCCAGGGATCACTGAGGTCTTCCAGCCTCCTTGGCAGTTTTGCTCCAATTGCCCATTTGCTTTTTTTGGTTTTTTTTTTTTTTTTTGCCTTTTCTTTGGGCCGAGGGGGAGGAATACAATACTTACGTTAAGGGATTGCATTCCTGATGTTGAGACTGATGCTGGTGGCCCTCTGTGAGTGCCTTTCTCACGCCCAATATTTTTATGACACCGTAAAGCTGTTACTTCAGCGTTACCTTCCCTGGGATTTGGGATGAACTCCTGTGTTCTTGGCACAGCCAGCTGTAAATGTGCTCCGTGGAAGGTGGCACGCTCTGACCTGCAGAAAGCTCTGCCATAGACACTCACCTTGTCAGCGTAAATGAAGAGCTGTGTTTGCTGGTAGGGGACTTGCCAAGTCCTTCCATTGACAGTATACATTCATACTTACTATGGGTCATGCTCTGAAGGGCAAGTCACTGCTGAAAAAGTTTATCTACTGAAATGTATTAAAACAACCGTAAACTGTTTTATTGCAAAAGAACGAAGTGTTTGTAAGCAGAGACCTACCAAGATACTGAAAAATTTTCATCCTCTACAGTGAACATCTAAAGTGAGATTTCAGTTAAGAGCTTTAAAGGGAAGAAGTCCCCTGCCCAACATTTCTTCCTGAAGAACCTGACAGATGAGCAGTTATGTTACCTATTTCACTAGAGCAGGCTCGTCCATGATAGGGTTTTAGGTGGAATTAACCTTCACCTGCTTGAGGTCAGGCCGTGGTGTCCCATCCTTCTTGCAAGAGCAGAAACATTTATAATCCCCCTTTTGGCTTGCTGCAAGAGGTTGCAAGAGTCAGTTCAAAGTGCATCAAAAGACTTGAGGTGGGCAGACTTCAGAAATAAGATGTGTTTATCCTCTTAAGAGCACGCGAGAGGTACGTGCACGTTTCCATGTAGCTACAGAAGGATTTGTTCTAAAGGTCGTTCTAAAGGCCACATCTGTAAAAGCATAAATCAGTGATTGGAAGGAATTACTGATCCAAGGAGTCACTGCCCAGGAGCAGAGTCCACCCACCAGCTGAGGAATTGAGCAGGGAAGAGCGACGGGTTTCTCTGTCCTGTGTGAATGTAGAATTGTTTTATGCGCATTTCAAGCACTTTTTTTAATACTTTCCTCAAATCCAATAACTGTATTGGCCTGTTTATGATGACCAATACAGTAATCAAGTGGCATCAGTGCAGAGAAAAATGTTACTTCTCAAAAGATGCATTTAAAGCCAAGCTTTCAGGACCTCCTCCTCAAATTGTACCATGTTTTTTTTATTTATTTATTTTTTCTTTTCTCATGCACATTCAGTGGATAAAATTTACATTGCCCCTTTTGACCTGTTACTGTGGTTCTAAAGACAAATGCGTCTCACTGGATTATTTTAATTAGAAAAGTCAGATTACACCCCATTACTTTCTCATGAGGAAAAGGCCGCTTGACGGCAGGTTTTCTGGAAGACCGCGCATCTCCGCACAACGTGACCAGGTGTGTGTTTCCTTTTGAGCTTTTCTGGTTAACGTACTTACTGGCCTCTTCTTTCTCCCCTCCTCTCCTCTTCCCCTCCCCAAGGGCTCACACTTGTTTCAATCGTCTGGACCTTCCCCCTTACCCATCCTTCTCTATGTTATACGAGAAGCTGTTGACAGCAGTGGAAGAGACGAGTACCTTTGGCCTCGAGTGATGCCCCGGCCACAGTGCCCAGCTCGTGGGACTTTGCGGATCTCTCTTCTCCGAGGCGGAAGGGACGTTTGTGTTGGATTTCCTGGAGGAAAGCTGTGTCACCGTGCAATTCCAAAAACGCCATCCTGGGCGGGAGCGTGCGAAGGAGCCGAGGGCCCTGCGGCGGGGGCAGTGACGCTGCGCGGGGGGAGCCAAGTCTCACAGCCCGCAGGATTTCAGGACCGCCAAACTCGTTACGTCTGTGGGCCGAGAGACGCGGCCCCGCATTGCGATCGATGTGGCTGCGGCAAAACCCACCTGTACCAGTGAACTGGGGGCCACCAAAGCTGCTGAATGTAGAATTCAAGTCAAAAGGTGAAATCATTCAGCCCCCGCACTGCATAAGTGAAAAAAATATACACCATAGACTTTTTTTTTTTAAGTTTCGTAAGGGTACATTATTTTATGCCATATGTTATAATAGAATATCCAGTACTTGCTGTACCTAGGACTACGAGTGCCTGCATGGCTGCACCATAGATTTCAGCTTCCCGGGGCAGAAGCGAATTGGAAGGAAAGGCTGCGGCAAAGGATGCCGCAACGGCGGCCTGCAGTAAGGAGGTTTGTGGAACTGTGTATGCAAGTGGTGTGTATGGCAAAAAAAAACAGAGCTACTAGAAAACAGACTTAATAAGACTGATTTTATGCTTTATACTGCATGGAAACTATTTTAAGAAGAAACTAGCGATTTACCACAGCATATCAGGAAAAAAATCCTTACACAGTGACTTCTGTTTATTTTTATAGGTTCATTATATTATGTTTCTTAGAGTGTAAACAGGAAACAAGCAAACTAAAAATGCTATTTCTGTTTTTGTCACGTTCCATGCTTAAACAGGCATTGTGCTAATGTTTATTCTTTAAGCACTCTCAAGGGAAAAAAATGCCTTTTATTTTTATAAGGGTAAAAAAAACTCCCGAAATATTTTGCACTGAATGTACCAAAGTCGAAGGGACATTATGATCTGACTGACAGCAAACTGCATCACTATCAAGTATCTATAAAATGCTTAGGAACCAGGCTTTCTTCACGGTGCCATGTCTATCGATATCAGGACTGAGCACATAAGTAATAATTTTATAATACTTATTAGATGTGATATTGTAATATGCATTTATTTTAAATGCATCTGGGTCATTTTTCATGCATTGGGTAACTTAATGCAATGGAGTTTAATACTGATATTTCATACGTTCCCCGCAACTTTTTATTTGTACAGCACCATAACACACTGGCTCACCTGGAAATCCATGAGCAGCCTCCTTCCAGGTGGAGCACGATGCCACTGGTGTCCCGTGTCAGTGAGCACCCACCAGACGTAACCTGGCCATAGTCTTTTTAAGCCTGTGTTTTCTCTGATAAGTAGTTTTCTTATCCTACGTCGTTTGACTGAGTTCTTTTTTTATGGCGCATCCCACGCTGCATGGGCACCGGTGTGTTTGTGCTTCCTCCTGCGGAGTTGCCCCGCGCTGGCTCGCATCCTTCTTGGTACCGTCCTTGGGATGGTCCTGCGGAAGCGGCGCGCGGCTGCGTGCGGGTCCTGCACGTCCTCCTCTAGGGAACACGCGGAGTCGCACGTGGACACTGGATGGCAGGAGCCTCCGGGAGGGTCCCGCTTGGTCCTGGCTTGCTGGGCGCCCCGGCGCGGGGCAGACGTCGTCGGCAGAGGCTGCCGGCCCCGCGTCCGCGTCAGGGGCAGGCGCAGCCGTGGTGGCGGCAGCCGAGGCTGAGGAATCCCGTCGGATCGCTGAGCAAATGCCCCCGGCGCAAAGGAAAACCCGCGTGCAAAATCCGAGCGAGAGCATCCTTTGACTTCAGGAGTAACCCAGCCTCTGCATGACAGCTGGAACTCATGCAAGGAACACGCGTGCTCTTGCCTCCTCTGACTGGCGCTAAGTAGCAAAGGAAAACCCAAGGCTGCCCTCCTCCTCCCACACCTCGACGTGCCCGTCGTCGCTGCAGCTGCATGGCAGGGGGCTGGTGCACACCTGGAGCAGTAGGCAAATCCCCCTTGCTCACATCCCCCAGCATGGCTCGTTTCACACGGTCACTTCCCTGAGTAACTTTGGCACTCGGAGCAGAATGCAACTTCTGTTGGTTGAGGGACAGCAGAGTTTTGATTTTACAGTACTGTGTTATTTGTGGTGATTTCCCAGGTGGAAACTGTACCTACGAGCTTTGAACCAGAAACTCTTTGGAATGAAAAGTTTAAATATTTGGCACAAAAGAAGTTTATACAAGTCTGCCTTTAAGTTATGCTTTTGTACAAATCAAAAATAATAAATGCATCTGTCAGTTTTTATTTATATCTACCACACACATTCGTTCTGTATTTATGCATCTCCAAATAATTGAAGTTTAGTTGTCGCAGTGTAGGATTTTGTAAAGATCTGACACAATCACCAGTGCGTCAGGGAAGAAAAAAGCCCAGAAAGGCTCAGATCCACGTAGTATTTGGTCTGAGAAGATCTGAGCAGCGGCTGCCGCCAGCACCATGTGTGGGATAGCGCCCTGGCAGAGGCGTAAGCGACGTGGTCATCCAGTGCCCTTAGGAGCACCGCCAGCAGATCAGCATGCAAAGGGATCCTCTTAATCTCGAGTATATTGCAGTGTAGGGTGTAATTCAGCTGCCTGGAAACCGCTCCACACACACGCCATCCTTGGTATTCTTTAAGCAAGTCCCTTTTTGTTTTCAAAACGATTTTTCGTTGTCTGCGCTGTGAACCTACCCCAGAAAGGTGTTAATGTTGCTTGCAGAATACGCAGCTGGCGCACGGAGCCGCCGGGCGCCGCGTCGTCCCCAGCCGAAGCTGCCGAGGGCAGGTCACGGCGCGAGCAGCAAAGTCGCGTCGTGTTCAGGGAAACGGCAGCGCGCGGGCTGGAAAACGTCCTGGCGGGAGGGGACCTCTCAGAGCACCGGGCTGGTAGTTTGCTTGTGTTCTAATCCCTAGGAAAGAAAATAGTTTTGTGGTTTGCTCTGTAATTTCAGTCTTTCTCAAGTCCACAAAAGCTCGCTTCCCATGTGAGGAGTCGCATCGCCTGCGCACCCCGAGTGACCCCGGTATTAACACAGCAGCTTGTTAATGGCTCCAGCGTTAGTGGCCGTGGGCGAGCAGCATGTGCAGGGCTCCCTGCCAGGGCGGGAGCGCGGAGACCCTCGTGCCTTGTCAGCAATTGAAACTTGTACTAACCTATACTAGCAACTGTGTTGATCCTCCCACTGGTTTTATGTGGAAGGGCAGCTTATTCATGTTAATGCTAATGGGGATCCAGCACCAATCCTGTCTCCAGTCATAAGATCACAGGCGTTTGCCTCAACGTGAACCGTGCAGTATTATCACTCAGCCAACAGTCACTTCCCTTTCTCATCCACTGCTCCTCACCTTCCAAGGTAAGCAGAGTCTGCTCCAAGCAAAACACGTCAGAATAGCGGCTCCAGCCTGGTTTCTTGAACCGTTTGCGTTTTGCGTCCGCTGTGCAGGCCGCAGTCGGACTGCAGGGATGTTACGGGGTGACTAGCTGAGACGCTGCAGGCACCCAACCTTTACCGTGCTGCCAGGCAGCCGCGCTGGCTGCGCTAGAGCTAATCTAAGCTTTTTGCCTGGGTATTTTAACAAAAGAGTTTAGGGGGTTACATTTGAAATTGCTGGTCTGCTGGAAAGATGAATAGAAGTTAGGGTGAATTCAATGTGGAGCCAAGCTCAAGTCCTTCATCCTTTATAAAAAAGATATTTTTTGAAGAGTGGAAACTATATTTTGGTTTTCAGGACATAGTGACGTTAGTCCATTCAGAAACTCATTGATCAGCTGCTGCATTGGTCTGACAGTTCAGCGCTAATCTCAGCCTAATCACTTTGAAAGGCAGAGGCCTGCAATGTCCCACAGCAGTGTGGTGTCCTGCTCCGGGGCTGCTTCCCAGAGGGTGCCCTCTCCCTGGAATTGCATGAAATCCTGCAGTCACCCCGTGCGGAGCACCGGCCGCCCGCACCAGCTATAGCTGCGGCGTCTGCCTAAGGTTGTGCTTTATCCTTCTGCTGAGAAGGAAACTGGTCTCCCATGCAACAAGCGTAGCTCCCCCGGCCCAGAGAGCCAAGGGCCTCAGTTACTCTGAATCTAGATCTTGTGCGTGAGTTAGTTAAGGTGAGCTAAGGGCAAATATCTCTTCATCCAGTAGTCACAGAGGTTACTTAGAAAACCAACACTTGGTATCCAGTGGCTAGATGTCCCTTGGCTTTGGTTTTGCAACTGTAACAGAGGTGGAGGTTCCAAACCGCGGCGCGGGCAGCGGTGCTAATAGCGGTACAGGTGGCTCCCGACGTGTCCGCACCGTGTCCCTTCAGCTGCAGCGCTCATTGTAAACCAAGAAAATGGTGATTTTTATAGCTGAAAAATACCGACTCCATTAACTTCTCTAATAGTATGAATCCAGATAGCAAAAAAAAAAACCCAAAAAACAAAAACCAGATTTTGTTTGATGTCATATTCGATTGCAGGGCTGATGGCAGTGAGACTTTCGAGTGGAGAGGTTATAGATTCCTGCCTGAATAAACGAATAAATCTCCAAAGCCCCATAATTTAGGCATGTAATTATGGGCATTGTGATGGTAAGGTGTGGTTGATCCACAGAGAAGGTGCAGTGCATAAAACGCAGCCCGTGAAGACAGGATTGCCCGAGTGGGGACGGAAACAGGCTCAGCCTTTGCAAACGGCGCCTAGGGCACCGGGCAGTGCTGAGCCCGGCTTGCACAACAGGGACGCGCTTGCTTCAATATTAAGGTAATACACCCAGCAAAACTGGCCCTTAATCCTGAATTATGGTAATGTTGCCTGCACACGCAGCAAGATATATTTTAGCTTATTTTTAATCTCACACAATCTAAAATAGAAGATCAGAAAAGTAATTCCCCTGGTAGTTGTTTTTGTCCTTTTGGTTTTGTTCTCTTTAATTGGTCTGCTCAAGA